GAACAGGGAATGGAGAGGGGTGGGGTGGCTACAGCACCGAAGGTGCAGGCTAGGAGGGACTCTCACCACCCTGGGGTTGGGGGGAAGATGTCCAGTGTTGGGGTGGAATCAAGGAATGCACAGAGGATGCAGAGGCACCTTCTGCAGACCCAGGTATCTCACCGAGAGGTGACTGGAGCCCAAGCCTCCCCACCTGGCTCTGCCTGATGCCCTCACTCTCCCTCCACCTAAAAAGGTCTTTGCAGTGCCTCCTCCTTTGAGCACCGTCCCAGCATCCTGGTAGGAGCTCTCCACAGCCCAGGGCAGAGGACATGGTCTTCCCTACCTCCCTCCAATGCTCTGGGCCCCTTCACATTATGTTGGGACCCAACTCCACCCTCTCCCATCCCTAAAAGCTTTCTTAAATCCCCAGGGAGACCCCGAACCAGCTCAGTCCCACCATCACTGAACCCAAAGGTATCCACATAACCCAGGCCATGGTGTCCAGATTGGGGGAGGCTCTCTGCATTTGTGGCAGGACACCACTTGGATTGCCTCGACCTCCTTCCTAAGTGTTGCCAGAAAAAGAATTATGGGTGAGTCTGGGAAGACTTGGATTCTGGAAAAAGATTCAGGACTGGAGTCTAGACCGTTCTACAGCCCCTCACCCTTTAACCGAGGCAAGGGACCCCCCCCCCCACACACACACACACACCACACAGGCACAATGGAAGTTGTCTCCGAACTCTTTTTAGCCATAGTGTTTTCCAATGACACCATGTCATCTGCCCTTACTATATAACACTACTAGACCTAGGGCTGCTCTGCCAGCTGTCAGCTCTGTCACAGTGCTGGCCATGAGTTCCTGCGGCTTCCTCTGCCATCATCTCCTGGATGGTGCAGGACTCAGTTTGCTTCTCTGGAACATGGATGTTATCGTCTCCTTCTCCCTCACTCCCCTGGCACACAGGTTGTGACTTATGAAGTGTCTGAGGACATTTCAGCCGGTGACACAGGTTGGAAGGGAGTCCCCTGAGGAATGGTCCTTGGGCTCCTTACACCAGCCAGGATGCTGCTCACCTTAAGCACCTAGGCTGCATTTAATCCTATATGCTTTTTGTTGTTGTTTTTAAGACAGAGTTTTTCTATGTAGTATGGTCTGGTCTTGAGCTCACTGTGTACCCCAGGCTGGCCTCAAACTCATAGCAATCCTCCTGCCTCAGCCTCCTGAGTTCTGAGATTATAGGTGTGCACCAACATAGCTGGCTAGTCCCACCACTCTCTCTGAGCCTTATATAGACTACTACTGCTCCCTCTTCTGCAAGGTTCCCTGTCCTGGGAACCCAGTGTCACAAGGGGCCAGGAGTAGTCCTGAGAGCCTGTCCCTGAACAAGTGCCCACAGACTCTCCTGCCTGCTGTCCCTCCTGAGGACCTGCCTGGGAAGGGGGAGGGGGAGCAGGATTGGAGTGGGGGCAGGTGGTCTGGAATGTGCTCTCACCCCTCCTCCTGCCCAGATGCTAAGGTGCCAGAGCCCCTTCCCGGCCTCCAGCTCTGAGGGGAAGCTCTTCTGTGCTGTCCCAGGACAGCTGCCCCCAATAGGGTCCCCTTCACGCGCCATCTCACCCCAACTCAGACTCTAAAAATGGTTCTCTGGTTTTCAGCTTCGGCGCCTGCCCACAAATTAGTGTCTCCAACACGGCCTCCTGGGACACTACTTCAGGGAGGCCTGGTGGGTGGGGGGGCCTCAGCAGAGGGAGATGGAGGGGGCAGAGTTCCTTTCTGAGGATCCCAGAGCAGGCCAAGCTCCCTCCCTGCTACTGCGACCCCACACCAAGCTGTGTGACAGCTCTGCTCTCTGCCATGGCAGAGGGACAGATCTCGCCTCCACCCACCCTCACCTCCACCACCAGTGTTGTCCACGGCCACTGTCCTGGGTACTGCTCTGCTGGAAACAAGACAAGAGGCTGCCAACCCCTGCCCAACTGCCTGGAGTCCACAGCCCACCTTGCCAGGTCTGAGCTTCCATGGAACCCCACCCAACAAGGGAAGTGGGGCTCACTGCTGCCTGACCCTTAGCCCCAGATTCTTCTCTCCTCCCGGTTCTGCCACAGAGGACTTAGAAGAGGAAGAGCCTTCCTCAGGATGCTCATGCCTCAGGGCACCAAACATGCAGGTGCCCCCGACTGTTGCAGGGACAGGACACCAGCGCGCAGGTAGGTCCCTGGGCGAGTACTCACAGGTAAGCCGTCAGGGGATCCAGGTCTCCCGGCACAGTGGAGAGCCCCAGCTCAGAGCAGTCTGCCGACAGCATGATGCCATCCTCCTGGCAGTGGCAGGGGGCCGGGCAGGCTGCGCGCCCCTGGCCGGGCTGGGCGGCGCCGTCCGCGCACTGGGAGGCGCACAGCGCGGCGCAGAGCCACAGCGCCCAGGACCCGGGCGGGCTGGGCATCTCGCGGCGGGCTGCGGGCACCTGGTGAGGGCACGGGCGGACGCGCGGACGCAGTGGCCTCCGGGGCTCGCGTCCCAGTCGCGGAACCGCGGGCTGCGCCGTCGGTGGGGACCGCCCCGCGGCTCTGCTTGGCGGCAGCGGCGGCGGGAGCGCAGGGACCTTGCAGTCAGAGAGGGGCAGGCATTGTTGAGTGATCTTCGTTATTCAGTTTCACAGGCTGGGCTTGGCGAGGGAGGGAGACACAGGCGGAGGAGGAGTCAAGGAAACTTTCTACGCTGCGCTGCGGCTCGCTTCCCTTCCCTCCTTCTTTCCGAACTGGCAGGAATTTCATCCCGGAAAGGAAGGGGAGGGGGGAAGAAGTCAGAGAGGCTCAGCATGCGGGAGATCTGCACTTGTTGGAAGAGGGTGCACTGGAGCCCGGGCCCAGGGCCTCGGCCCCTCCTGCCTTGGGGACACCCACAGGTCACATGGGACCCAGAGGAGGTCCTGGGGAAGAGACCCTGAGGCCCTCCCAGGCCCCCAGCGCCTCTACCGTTGGCGGGGCCCAGACCCAAGAGAAGCGATTTGTTCAAGGTCATCCGCTGAAGGGGGCAGTGCCGGACTGGGGCGCGGGTCAGCCCTCCCCGACCCACTCCCTGGGTGACCAAAAGCCGGCACCTGTCCTCAAGGCGGTGGGCACGGAGGGGCATCAAGGAAGTGAACATGGATCTTCGCCTCCTGAGTGCACAGTGGCTGCAGAGGCACTCGTTTGCTCTCAGTCAGGTTTATGGCCCGAGAATCACCTTGGTCTCTGCTCCCAAGGTAGGGAGGCCAAGAGGCTTTGCTCAGCTGGTTGTCAGCACCTGCCAGAAAGTCAGCAGACTGGCGCCACCTGGTGGCTCGTGCTGCAGCTGTCAATTAGCCTCTTAGAGGCTAGAAACGCAGGGTTGGCTTGCTTGGCCAGGGAGCCAGGGAGCCAGGGAGCAGGGAGAGTAGTGATGGATAGTGGAGTCCAGTCCACGTTCCCTCCTTAGGGCATGCTTGGAGAGCTGGGCTTCCTTCATATAATCTCTTTCTTTCTCTAGTTTCTTGGTTTTTCGGAGCCAACCCCAGTGCAGAGTTAGAGAGCCCCCTTGCCCAGCTTTGCTGTCCCCCCAAGGTCCACCTAGAGTCCACACCAGAAACACAGTGACCCAGAGACAGCCCAGATTCCTTCCACCTGCTCTTCCATATCGCAGGACCCTCCCATCAATCCCTCCCCACCCTCTGCTGATCTCCTGGGACCAGAGGGACTGTACAGCTGGACAACACCAGTAGATCCTGACCCTAGGACTCCAGTTGGGGCTATGGTCCTAAAAGTGAAAGATGTGCCTTAGGATGGTCCTGCACAGCAATAAGATGCAGGACAGAGGTGCCGTGCAGAGCCCCTCAGGTAGGGCTGTATTTGGCTCATGACTCTGTGACCTTGGCTCTCTCCCATTCCTGCTGCTCCAGTGTGAGGGGCCCAGGATGGGAAGACCACGGCTGAGCCCCACTGCAGCTTCCATGGCAGCCCCCGGGCAGGCTCAGGCAGCTCAGTGCTGTCCCCAGCCTGCCCATGCGAGGGTCATTATTGCAGCAATGCTGAGGACTCTGGGTGAGCGCTGTGTACAGCAGAGGCTCCTGACACCAAGTCTTCCTGGAGCAGCACCAGAGCCTAACCTCATGCTAGGAAGGCTCTTGGTGGGCAGAAAGCCTTACTTTTCTCCAGCTAAGCCTGAGAAGGACCCCCTCCCCCACTGAACTGATGCCTGAAACATTACTAAGGAACTGAGGTTACCCAGTGAGACCCCTGCCCCTGCCCCCAGTGGGGGGGGTCTGGCTCCACTTAAGAGAATTCTGTGCTGATTTCTCCTGGCTTTCTCTGTGGATTCCCAAGATCCTCCAGCGAGGTTCCCTGCATCCAATGCCAGGTACCATGTCACACAGAAACTTGCAGGCTGCCAGGGAAGCAGATAGGAGCTTCTAAGGTGATCAACAACCCTGTGGTGATGTGCAGTCTACTCCAACAGTGTCAGAGATAGACAGCCTCAGCCCCACCCTCCTCTCTGGTCTTCTAACTTTCCCATCTCTGTATCCCTTGTGCTTTCTCCCACCTCCATGCCACATGGTGGGGAAGAAGGAAGAGGACAAACAAAACTAGGAAAGCCGGGCAATGCTGGCCTGAGGGCCACCATGTGGCTGTAGTGCCTCTACACTGGCAAGGAACCTAGCACATAGAGAAGGCCGGGGATGGCAGGAGGAGGGATGTGGGGAACAGGATGAATCCTAATGCTTTCAGGGGCAGTGGAAGAGGAAGGGGAAGTCTACATCCAGAGCTCAGCACCGAAACACTAGAGGTGGAAAGCCTGAAGTCCAAGGAAACTGGGAAACTGGGGGCTACGGGGGAGCTACCAACTACCAGCTGGTGTCAGCAGACTCAGCTTGACCTCAGGCCCCAGCTTCTAGCTCTGCTCCATGTGTGTGCACAAGGCCCTTATGTTGGGGCCATGTTAGAGGATGGACAGACAGAGCTCTCAGCCTCAGCCATGTGTCTTTATTCCTCAGCCATGGTGCCAAGGTAGCAGCTGCTCTCCTGGAAGCCAGGCAGGGGTCTTCCCGGGGGAGGGCTGACAGAGTACAGGCGGCTCCTGCATTCAGGCCAGCTCCTCCACCAGTGCACTCCGCAGACAGTTGTAGAGGTAGATGTACTGCTCCTGCAGGTAGACAAGGAGAAGGAGGCTCACTCTTCTTGCCCAAACCAGACAGGGAAAAGCCCCAGGTCTCTCATTCCCAGGACACGTCCCATCTAGGCAAGAACATAGTGGCCTACAGCGCCACCTGCTGGCAACAGGGGTGGCACTGACCAGGGGCTACCTTCTCTCCCAGGCCCTTCCCACAGCCTCTGGCCACCTCTCACCAGAGTAGGGGTCATGAGGGCACAGGCCTGTGATTGCTGCAGTGCTGCTTTAAAGACATCCACAGTCTGCTCAGCCCCCGCCTGCTGCAGCAGCTGCTCCATGGCCAAGAAGGTGCCCAGCTGGGATGCACCCTTGCTGCAATGGACCTAGAGTTGGACTGGGAACCTGGAAGGGATGGGATGGGGGTATCCAGGAATATGGGAACACCAGACCTGGGCCCAGGGACTGAGAAAAGCTCCTGGGCACTTGGTCCATCAGCCAAGCTGGGCCCAGGCAGAGAGTGGGAAATCCCTACCACATCCCTGAAGACAGGGCAAGAGAAGACAAGGGAGACTGTCTCTCTCTCTCTCTCTCTCTTTTTTTTTTTTTTTTTTTTTTTTTTTTTTTTTTTTTTTTTTTTTTGGCTCCGAATGCCTTCAGGGCGTGATTGGCTGGCTTGAGTTGTGGGGATTGAACCACAGCAACCTGAGCCTGACTGCTTTGTTGAAGCAGCCACTTAAAGAACTGAGCTAAGGGGCAGCCCCCCCCCCAGACTGTCTTTTTGACCCATAACCCAAGAAGGGTTCAGGGGGATTTGTCCTCCAGCACCTGCAGTGGCTGAGTAGTGTACCAGGCTTCTTGTTCTTGCCCCGGAAGCAGCACTGGCCCACATCAGCCAAGAAAGGCAGTAGAGTGGTAGGAGGCAGCTCGTGCCCAGGCTCCTGGCATGGGAACTGCAGGTGCTGCACTAGCCTCTCAGTCCCACTCTCTCCCTGGGGCAAAGATCAGATTGGCATTGGTGGGAGGGCAAGGAGAAACCAGCACAGGACTGTGCCTCCTACCGCCCACCACCCGGTGTCCTATGGCCTCAGCACCTACGTGTGTGACCCTGAAGAGAGTACAGGGCCAGTTGGCAGTGCTGCTGTCCCCCACCCAGTGCACGGTCACCACGCCTGTGACGATGGGCTGTGTCTCAGTTGGCCAGAATGCCTGTGGCTGGGACCAAACCAGAGTTCAGCTTCCTAAGGTCTCTGTTGCCACCCACATCAGACAGTAGCATACACTCTTCCCACTTAGGCTCAGCTCCCACCTGGCCTGGACCCCATCTCTGCTTGCCTTACCTTCTCCTGGGGGTCAGGTGGGCTCAAGGACACCAGCACGCAGGCCCCATGCTTCCACACCAGCTCCCAGAGCTCCTCGGGCCCTGCAGGCCCTGTCAGCACCACATGATCTCGGCCCAAAGGTCCACCCTGCAGAGGGCAGCTCATTGGCTCCCAGGGATAGAGGTGTCCCCTGCTCCAGGAATCCCCAAACCACCAGGCCCAGCCTGAGAAGCACATAGGGTCAGAGAGGGTCACCAGCATCATCTCACAGGGAAGAGCCAGGCTTCCAGGACAGCATCCACAGAGCTCTCTTCCATGGCAGAAAGCTGAGACTGAGAGCCAGCACCTGCGGAAAGCATTGAGGGTGAGGCTGTGGGTGGTTCCCAGCTCCTGTGCGGCCCCCAATCCTTTTCCCCGGGACTCACAGGAGACAGTGCTATCCTGCTCGTAGCCAGAAGAGTGCGAGGAAGAGCCAGCCTCCTTCTTGAGAGCCTGCAGCAGGAGCTGGGAAACAGGCACCCTGAAGCCAGGTGGGGGAGAGCTGCCTGCCCATGTCACCATGCCTGGTCTAAAGCATACCTTGTACTCCTTCAGAAAGCCAGCATTGGCATTGGATGCCCTCTTGGCACATGCCTGTGGGAAGCTGGCCACAGAGATGGGTCCAGTCCTGGGTTGGGGAGGAGAGGAGAGATGGCACATGGGGTTGCCCAGCTGTTGCTGTGTCTTGGTTCAAGACTGGAGGAGCCACAGGGAGCCAAAGGGGGCCAGACTCACTCAGAGATGCCCGAGGGCCCTTGCACAATCCGGCTCAGTATGCAGCTGTGCAGGAATATGTACTGGCTCTGGTGGGGAGAAGGCATTAGCTGCTGAGCCCAGCAGCTGAGCACCCAGGTCCCACTCAAGGCAGAAGCATGACAGGAGGTCAGGGGAGCCACACAGGAGCCCCCCTGTGCTACCCCAGGGTCCAAGATGGCAGTGGCTGGGACTTTCTCCCCTTTTCCAGAGAGGAAACAGGCAGCCCAAGCAGGGTGTCGCACATTTGAGCCCCTTTCCTGAGCTCCTCCACATGGCCCTGTGAGCTCCTTTCCCCAGTCCCTCTGACTGCCTGAAGCCACCCACTCCAGCCCACTCCCCAGTTGCTGAGGCCCTCACCGGGGTCTGGATCATGAGGGGCCGGTGTAGCCGGAGCGTGTACACTGTGTTGAACACATCCACCACCTGCTCCTCCTCCAGCTGCTGCAGCAGCCTCAAAAGGGCCACAAAAGTGCCCGTGCGGCCCACGCCCGCGCTGCAGAGAAGCCCCTCCAGAGCTGAGTCAGGGAGGGCCACCGTGTCCCCACCATTCCCAGTCAAGGCCAGGCAGGGGTCCCCCATCACTCCCACCTGTCCTCACCTGCAGTGCACCAGGACAGGCCCTGTGCCCTGGGTGGCTCTCACCTGCTCCTGGACCAGCTCCACAAATGCGAGAAGGGGGCCAGGGGCCTCGGGGATGCTGTGGTCTGGCCAGGTGGTGAACTGCAGCTGCCTCACTGTCCGCTGTCGGGCACCCTGAGGCAAGGGTGAGCAGGAGGAGAGTAGGGCCATGCAGCTGCACTGTGACTTCCTAATCCCCAGGTCTCTTGTTTGCCCTGAAACCCCCCTCACCAGCTCCCTGAGGGCAGGACTGAGGCTCCTCCCTCAGACCAAGTGTCCCCTCATCCCAGGCTGGAGGCTCCTGGAGTTGCTGGGCCCTCAGAGAGCCCCCTGGGCAGGGGGGACTCCAGCCCCTGGCTTTCCTGCCCCAGAAATCACCACCCAGGAAGACAGCCAAGGGTTGTAGTGAGCAGGGAGCCCTGAGCTGAGCGCAGGGACCTGGGGTCCATCGTTCACCTCTCCACTCCAGGAGGGGGATGTCCCTCAGCATCTGCTTTCAGGTCTGAACAGTAATAGCCACCCCACCCCACCCTGTCCCTTGGGCACACACGTGCTGCAGCCTGAAATCCCTCCTGGTCCACTCGTCCCTGGGCTCCTCAGCCAGGAGGTGGATGGTGATGTGTCCGTGGGTGATAGGGATGGCATTCACTGGCCAGTAGTGTTCACACAGCACCTGGGACCAAGGGTCAGAGAAGGAGAGGGCGGCCATGGGTGACATCACTGCCCCCACTGTAGCCAGTCCCAACTCCCCTCGCCTTTGTGGTGCCTGCCACCCTGATGAAATTCTGCATTTTATACCCATCAGCTCTAAGGCCACCTCCTCCAAAAGTGTCACCACCACCACCACCTTCCCACCCACCCTTGTGTGCATTCACCTCCTCACCCTGGACCTTCCTATGGCCAGGAGGACTCTGCATTAATGACTGGATCCTTTGTGAAACTGGTAACCCTGATTTTAGGAGCCATCTGCCTTTGCCTTGTGGCTTGTGAAAGGACAGATTTAGCAGCCTTTCTCAGACTCAGACCCGGTAGGGAACCAGGAACAGAGGAGATGCCCCAGGCTGATGGAGACAAAGATGGCCAAGTGTCCTACGTCTTATCCCAAGTCAAGCCAGGAGCTTATGTGGCTGATCCTTTCCCCTACACCCGCACCTCAGGTGACGCTGGGATCCCACCCACCCATCCCTAGGCCTAACTGGCCTCACTATCTGCCCTACATCCCTGCAGAAGATGGAGGCGTGTGCCCCCTGGCGGCCGTCCCAGAGACTGCACTGCGCGCTCACCCTCCCATTCTCCATGCCCACAGTCAACATGACAATGATGTGGACGTGCTGCTCCCACACCAGCCGCCAGAAGTCTTCCAGCGTCTTCTTGAGAGGCCCCTGGGTGGCAATGTACTCTCGCGGGTGAGAGTAGCCCTAAGGTGCGGGGTAGAGGGCAGGGACACCTTAACAGGTGAGGCTTGGGCCCCGCCCCCACCAAGACGCAGCAGTAGACCCCATGTGACCTTCAGGAGGGCGGAGGTTGTGTGCTTGCCTACACACAGTCAAACACGTGCACACATGTGTACACCAAGAGCTAACACCAGGAGAGGTGACTTCAGGGACACGAGCACCACCCATGCCCTACGCCTTGAAGGGATAAGAAAGCCTACCTGAAAGTAATAAAACCTAGACGTGCTAGAGACAGCTTACCCAGCCCCCCACCCCAGTCCTAGAGTGGCCTTCCTGAAGCCAAGCCCTACCTTTCTTCATGCTCTCTACTTTCCATGGCTCCCTGCTGCCCACCACGTGGACTCCAGAGCCCTCAGGCTGAAGGCCAAGCTTCTCCTCCATCCAAGCCCAATCTACTTTCCTCGCTCCTCATCTATCAAGCTGCCCCTCATCCTTTAAGAGACCGAGTGTCCCCTCCTCTAGGAAAGCTCTCTGGATTCCTCAGGTGGGCTGACTTTTCCTTCGTCTGTGAGCTCAGAGCATTGTGCTTGTTCTTCTATTCCAGCACTTGTCACTCGCATACCACGTGCTCTCTCCTTTGAAGGTATGAACGTGGCTGGCTCCATTCTGCCCCCCGGGGGCCCAGCACAGAGCCTGGCACACAGGCACACTCTCAAAACCCACTGCTGCATTGATCTACAGCAGCAGAAGCAGGGCTTCATGGACTGCTGCTGAAGTAGGGCAGGAAGGTGTGTCCTGAGAGCTGGTCATGTCCCGAGCAAACACCCCCCCCCCCAGAGAGCCCACTGTGGCCCTTACTGGGATGAAGTTGGCATTGATGTAGTCGGAGTGGGGCTCTCCCTCCAGCTGGGCCAGCCTGACCCTGGAGTGGTCATCTGCAGAGGGCAGAAGCCGTGAGTCCAGGGTCCTCCTCCAGGCCAAGCTCTGGCCCTCTGCCCAGGTCCATCCTTCCCCTAGCACTCACAGGGCAGCACGTGTGGGTAACGGTTTTTGGTAATATTGGCAGGGTGTTCAGCCTCCAGTCTGGGTTGCTCCCTGCCCACCTCCTTCAGTTCCTGTAGAGATCAAGGCAGACACTAGTTACTGAAACCACAGCAGGCAAGAGGCAGGCATGGTGACTGTGAGGTTCAGCCCAGCCTAGATGGCCCCTGGTCCTCCCTCCTGGACCTGTGGGCAGACTGGACCTTACCTCAAACTCTTGAAAGAAAGCCTGGTGTGCGTGGGCACTCTTGGCCTCGAAGCTCTGCCGGAAGCTGTGCATGGAAATGGGCCGATGGGTCCGCCTGTGGGTGACAGGTGCAGAGCTGGCTGCACAGACCAACCTCCCGGTGGGCAAGTGCCTGTTGCAAATGCAGACCCCAAGTGGAGCCACTGGTTTTCCAGCAAGCCCCTCCACTGTCTAGCCTGGGCAGCAAACCACCAACATGGGAAGACAGAAAAGGAGCAGAGACAGAGAAGCGAGGCATACACATGCACACGTGGGCCTTCTGACTCCTCCCTACACAGTTGGTGTTCTGCAGAAGTCAAGATAGGGAAAGCAGGTTTGCACTCATATAACACACATGATGAGCCCAGTCCAGTAAGGATGACACAGGGAGACGTGGGGGCTCATGGGGTCGTTATTTGCTATTCTGGATGTTGCTTTTGTTTGGAGTGAAATTAACATTTACACTGGTTGACTTTGAGTAGAGCAGATTACTCTCCTCATGTGGAGGCACCATCCAGTCAGACAAAGGCCTGGATAGAACAAAGACTGTCCTCTCCTGAGTAGGAAGGATTTCTGTCAGCAGACATCTTTGGCTGCCTATCTTCTCAGAGTTTCCATCCCAGGATCACACAGCATTTTTTTTTCTTTTCCAATACTGGAGATTGAACCCACGGCCTTGTACACGCTAGGAAAACTGTCTACTGTGGAGCTACACCCCTAGTCCTTTTTTATTTTGAGACAGGGTTTCACTAAGTTATCCAAGCTGGTCTTGAACTTGTGTCAGCCTCCCAAGTAGCTGGAATGACAAGAGCGCTGCACCATGTCTGGCCAGCCAATTCTTTTTTTTTTTGGAGGGGGGGGGCAAGGTCTACAGGGTGTACATGGTCTCACTGCATAGATCGGACTTGTAGTGATTCTCCTGTTTACAGCCTTCCAAGAGCTGGGATTATAGGCGTGCCACCACGTCCAGTCTCAATCACTGTCTCAGCATACCTGGGGGCAGCACCGGCACTGCAGGCCCAGGGGTCGAACTTCCAGCCCCTGTGCCAGCCAATTCTTTAATCTGTCTCTGTCTCTGTCTCTGTCTCTGTCTCTGTCTTGTTTGTCTCTGTCTCTGTCTTTCTCTCTCTTCCCCTGTTCCTCTGATTTCTCTGGAAATCCCTGAGTTTCCCAGTGAATTTGGAGCAGAAAGTGAGAGGGGAGTCTGCCTGTGAGAAGGAATGTGGGGAGGGGGCTGACAAAGGCCTGCAGCCCTGTCTGGGTGCAGTCACAGAGGAAGAGGCTTCCAGGAGTCTTGGCAATGCCACCATGGCCCTCCAGCAGGGTGCATAAGCAGGCGCACTCACCGAGGCCCATGCTGCGCAGGCTCATGGGCCGTGCTGTCTTTCTCCATCCTGCTGAGAAAAGAGGCAGACACCTGTGAAGGCAGCTCTGGGCTGGGGGCCGGCTGCCCTGGTCACAGGGCTCTCCCCAAGAGCCCCTCCACTCACCTCTGGCCCTTCATCCGCCACCAGCCCAGCAGGCCCAGTGCAGCACAGACAGTGAGCACGCAGCCTGCCATGAGGCCCACCATGCCCGGCAGGGGCACTGCTGCCAGGGGGACGCTGGTCCGGGGCTCTATGGAGGGCCGAGGGAAGGGTGTAACGTGGCAGCCCGGTTCCCCTGGCCCTGCAGGCCTCTGCCAGCCTTTCCTGAGCTTGGGCCCCTCTGAGCACAGTGACAATGCTCTGTGCTCCCCCTGCCCACAGAAGCCCCAGACACAGCCTAAGGCCAGAACTGGCTGAGCTGGGAAACCAAGAACACACAGCAAGGATTCTAATAGCCCTCCTCTGCCTGACACCCTTGAGAGGAACAGTAAAAGGCCAAGCTTCCTGGACCTTCTACAACACTGCCAGCCACCATGCACACCTCACTGGGTGGTTCAGGCTGGCCTCAAAATCAAGGTGATCCTCCTGCCTCAGCCTCCCCAGTACTGGGACGACAGGCATGCGGCACCATACGCTGCTATCTCTCGCTCTCTCGCTCTCTCTCTTTTAATGTATTAAGTACAGGGTCTACAGGGTCTCACTACGTAGATGGCACGCGGGGATTGAACTCCGGCCTCTGCATTCTGCCTAAGCAGGCACGTTAGTCCACTGAGCTATCTGGCTGGCCCCCAGCTCTTTGTTTTGTTTGTTGGCTTTCTTTTGTTTTGTGGCACTGGAGGATAGAGCTCAGGTGAGCCTTCTACCACTGAGCTACACCCCTAGCTATTGTTTTACTTTTTTAACATAAATACTGCTAGGAGGTTCCGGATTACTTTGGGGTTCACTTTACACTGGTGGACTGTCCTATATGTTCCTAGTGGCCAGTGCTGTTCCAGGAACTCACTGACCTGGAGGGCAGCTGGCTGCAGAGGGCAGTGCAGGGGGCCCGAGGCTGTGGATAGCAGCGACCTCCTCCATGCTCTGCCCTTCCTGCAGCCCCATCTCAACTTACCCAGGCCAAATCTGGTGCCCAGTGGGTCCCGCCAGTGCCTGCCCTACCTGAGAAGGCTGAGAAGGAGATGATGGTCTCAGGGGAGCTGGACCTGATAAAGGTGGCGACACTGAACCTGGCACAGAGAAGCAGGACCTTTTATTGGGGAAGGACAGACGTGCACAGAAACAGGGTCATGGGCAGCGGGTGTTCAGAAGGTGAGTGCTACCCTCCCCCCACTCTTTAGAAGCTGTGCGTGAGCTCCCTGCCACTGGTGAGAGGACCACCTCCAGCTTCTCTTCCACCTTCCTGCCCTGTTTTGAGAGCAGGAAGTTCTAGAAAGCGGCACCTAGATAGCCTCTGTACCGCTTTGGCAACTCCAAACGGAACTCCTCTCTTGTTCCATTCCTCTTTTGCCTTGCCTGCCAGGAAACCCAGTCAGAATAATTCTGGTAGCCCTTGTGGATTAGCACATGCTTTTGTGACTCAGTTCAGATGGTTGTTGAAAGAACAGCTAAGTGACCCATACATGAGGCTTAGAATGGCTCTCCTCCCTTCAGCCTGGGCCCTTACCTATACTGGAAACCTGGCTTGAGATGCCCGTTACATATCTCCCGCATGTGGCCACAGTCCTCTGTGCCCACAGACACTGTCCAGGACCTTGGTACCATCCAGGGCCCTGGGTAGAAGGGGTTGGGAAGCAGGACGGCCAGGTAGGAGTCGTGTCCTCCATAGTAATGGTCATACCACGTGTGGTTGATGACTTCCAGGGAGGGCCGAACCACTGGGAAAGGAATGGGGAAAGCATAGAGCAAGGTGGGCAGACTTGAGATCCCAGGCTCTGCCCCAAGGAAGCTGCCGTGTTTCTGCAGCACACTCCCTCCACTCTCAGCCCAATATCACTGCTGTCCTCAAGAGCATCTTGGGGCACCCTTCTGCTCCAAGATTGGCGCTGGCTTCAGAGTGTGTATCTCGCCATCCCAGGTTAGGCAATCCCCACTCCTCCCAGCCCCTGCTGGGCCCAGGACTCACACGCCATGCTGGTGGTGGCAATGACACCGTACCACTGGATCTGCCCATCATCCTTCCCAAACATGCCACGTGTGATCACCACCCCCATGCCCATCTCAGGATCCTCCAGCTGGGGGGCCGCAGCTAACTCTGGGGGGTGCCAAGCTGGGGACAGAGAGAAGGAAACTGAGACCCTGACAAGGTGCCTCACTATCGGTCTTCAAGGACAGGACCATTCTTTCCTGGGTCCTGAACCTCTTATAGTACCTGGCAACAAATGGCTAATGGACATAGTTTAGTGAGGCCTGGAAGATTCCCAAGACAGGGCACCAAGTGCAAAGCAGGATGAGCGCCAGGGGAAAGGGCGGGACTGGGCAGGCAGGGCCCCAGGCAGCCAGGCCCAGCAGCGACAGTGCCCTAGGCAGCGATGGAGGGGAACTGGGGACCAGAGGCAGCCTCTGAGGATGGGAGGCACCTACCCTCTGCAGAAGTGGTGCACACCAGCGTGACTGCCCGGCTCCACTGACCATTCCTGCCCAGCACAGTGAGGCTGAGGCGGTAGGAGGTAGCAGGCACCAGGCCGGACAACATGAGCGCATTCTCGGAGGTGTTGACCTGGAACATGAGGTGAGAATCCCCTCCTGCAGCCAGCTGCTCAGCCACCACCAGACAGGCACTCGCGTCCCCTGAAGGCTTTGTCCAGTTCAGGGCCAGGTGGGTGGCCTCAGGTTGGCACTGCACATCCTCCACGGGGCCAGGTTCTGTGATACCAAAAGCACTGCTATGGGGGTATCAGTGCACCCCCAAGAGGAGAGCTCAGTCAGGGGTCCTCAAATTTGGCAAATACAAAGGGACTGGGCATCTATGCTCAGGGAAGGGCATCAGCCACACAGGTGAAACAACGTCTCTTTGAGGAATTGCTGCCTTTTTAGAGGAGTCTAGAGGGTATCACTCAGGGCAGGGGTGGGCACAGCATCCATCTGGAAGGAGCAAGCAGCTCAGAACAGAGTGGCAGTGCTGCCAGCCTGCACAGGAGCCCTCCATGCCCACCACAGATGGCAACGTACCAATAGGCAGCACCACGGAGTGGGTAGAGGCCTGAAGTGGCCCTGCACGGCACAGCACTGACAGTGAGAGACTGCGGCCTGGAGGGAGCCCCCTCAGCACTAGGCGGGCCTGGCCTAGCACCAGGGGCTGTTCCCTGGACAGATGCCCCGACTCTGAGAGCCGGGCATGGCACACACCCTGCCCAAGGGGTCCATTGGCCCAGACCAGGCTGACCACAGCACTGCTTGCCTGCATGGACACCAACACCTCATGCGGCAGGCGGGGGGCTGTGGAGGGAAGGGCAGGAGGTCACTCACCTGGTGCCTGGGGCTCACTGACCCGCGAAGCACCTTCAGAGTAGAGCCAGGAAATAGGATGGTAGGGTGTGAGACGCCACCGAGGGAGGCATCAGAGGTCTCTGAGGCAGCCCCTCCCCATTCAGTTCCTTCTTCCCACACCCTACTCACAGGTCCAGCCAGAAACATTGGCCGCTGCAGTGTGAAAGGGCCCAGCCTGCGTACAGACCTCGACCTCATACTCCGTGCCTGGAGTCAGCATGGAAAAGCTTGTCCAGTTCACCTCTGCGCCCATGGTGCCCAGGGCCACCTGGACACCTGCCTGGTACAGGGCTACATGGTACCCATCTCGGCCCCCAGGAGCATGGATCCAGGATGCCCGGAGCTGGGTGGGGCCTTCACTGGTCACATTCACCTGAGGAGGGGCGAGGGGGGCTGCAGGGAGGGCAAGGTTTGGGGGACAGACAAGAAGAAAAGCAATCTGAAGGAAAGGTCTGGCTTTTCTGGGCCCCAGTGATCTCCCTCTGCTCCCTCCATCCCTGGCTGGGCCCACAATCCAAAAGCCCCACTCTGACCCCTGCCAGTTGTCCCACGGAGCAGGGCTATGCTTCAATAGGGGTGAGTGGATGAATTAATCCTGCACTGTCCCCATGCCACCAACCCTCCTGTGGTCAGGGCTGGGCAGCAGGAGGATGGAGCCATAGGCCTTTTCCCAGCCCCTACAGCCTGTTCAAGCATCTCACATGGGCCAACAGGCAAGGGGGTGGGGGGAGGTGATGCCCTAACACCCTCAGAGCCTGAGCCCAGGACTGCGTGCTGTCACCTAGCATCCCATCACCAACACTCTTCTTTCTAGATGGGGACTCTGAGGATCAGGGAGGACAAGCCTGCTCTCCTACTCCCTGGTCACTTTCTCTAGTTCTGTCCAGTGCTAAAGGACAGCAGCAGTGACCCTGCTGGAAGAAGGAAGGCCCAGGGTGGAGGTGGCAAAGGGCCAGGGCCAGGGAGGCCGTGCGGGCACTCACGTGTCCAGCCTGTGGCGCTGGCATTGCTGCTCTCCTCCAGGCCCCGCAGGGTAGCCAACCACACCAGGAACTCAGAGCCTCTGGACAGCTGGGCCCAAGTGAAGTTCTGGGTCTCTGGGCCTACAGTCTCCTCGCTGTCCAGAGCCAGGGGCTTCAGGCTATAAAGCCTCAGCCGGAAACCATCCCTGCCACCCGGTGGGAGACTCCAAGAAGCCTTCAGCACAGGGGGCTGGACAGCAAAGCCCAGGCTCAAGTTGGCAGGTGGAGCAGGAGCTTAGAAGAAGGGAAAAGCAGACTTAGAACAACCCAAATCCACCACCTCTCCTTTCCCAGATAAGGTCCAAAGCCTCCCACCCTGAAATTCCAGCTTCCACAAGGCTCAGCTCCCACTTTCCTCTCCTTCCCAAGGAAGCCTCTCACAGGGAGGCTTATCCCCTGCCCACGGCGCCATGGGTGGCGAGGGCAGCGTGCCTGGCTCACTGCAATTCTGCAAGCTCTGCACCTGCTGGCTCACACCCCACGTGGACCTGCTCTCTAGCTCATCTGGTGACACGCAGTTCTGCCAAGACACCTGTCCTTCTGTCTGTCTGCCTCTGAGCTGTGGGCCTTGGTGTATTCTCAGCCTCCTGCTAAAGCCTGTCTGCCCCACTCCGCAGGCTTCTCTCTCAGCTTACTCCCCTCGGGGAACCTGGCTTTGGCTCTAGGCAGGTGTCCCTTCTGCCCAGAACATCAGGTTGAACCACATACAATTCCTGCTATGCAGCCATTCTAACCAGTTTGAATGCAGTTTCATATGAGTCAAGTTAATATATCACACATATTCCTACCAAAGCACTTACACTTACTATAATATGATATATATTTAAAAATCATGTACATTATAGCTATAAACCCTCTGTCAATCTTCCTAATGGTCTTGTTCATAATTCTTGCCTGACCTCATGCCTAAAAAATGAGAGATATTAATTAGATAGTTGTTGGAAGGAAAGAAAAGAAGAAGAAAGGCAGAGAGGTATGAAAAAGAAAGGGAGGACCAATAGACAGGCACATGAGTGTACAGTCAGCCAACCACCTGGTAGGAGGTGGAAAATGCTTACAAGAGATTCATAAAAGGCTGCCCCGAACTCAGAGTATGGTGCACAGAGGGACAAAGAGAAGGAGAAAACTGGTCCCCACCCACCACCATGGGCTGGCTGAGCTAGGAACTCACGAGTGCAGGTGTGGGTCCTCTGGGGGCTGGAGCGTAAGTCTCCTGCCCAGGCCTGCACTGACACAGTGTAGCAGGAGCCAGGCACCAGGCCCCGCAGAGCTACGCTGCAGTTGTCTGGGCCCAAGTCAACAAGGCCACCCAGGGCCCTCTGGCTGCCTTCCTGGTGCCAAGTGACCAGGTAGCCTTCCCGTTGTCCTGGTGCTGGGGCCCAGGCAATGGTCAGGTCAGACAGGCTGGCTCTATCGGTGACCTTCAGTGACTGTGGTGCCAGGGGACCTGAAGAGAGGGGGAATTTGAAGAGAGGCCTGTATCATGTCAGTGGCCCTGCTGGGTCCTCCACCTGGCCCTCTCAAGCCTCTCCCCTACAATACCCATGCTCTCAAGCCAAGGCCCTCCAGCTCATGCCTAGTGGACACCACGGCTAGCACTCACTTGTGTGGCCCTTGAGGCTCTTGGTGATGATGCCCAGAGATGAAGCAATGTCCACCCGGTAGCGGGCCCCTGGAACCAGCCCGCAGAAGGTGATGTGGTTGGTACCAGAGGGCACAGAGATGTTTCCCAGGAGGCCTGGATCTCCATCGGCATAGAGCAGTGCCCGCCTCCCAGGATCCCTAGTGGCCTCCAGACCATCCAGCTGCAGCTTGGCACCACAGCCCTGCCTCGTTTGGGCTGCAGAGTCTGGGGGGAAAACAGCCCAAGAGAACAAGGACCTACCTGCCTCTGGATACCAGTGGCTCTGCCCCACCCGGACCCTTCTAACCCAGGCTCACCATCTAGCCAGGCACTGGCCTGGGCACGGGCACCATAGGGCCCAGCCAGAGCCTCCAGCTCCAGGCCATAGTGTCCAGGGGGCAGGGGCCCTGGCAATGTGGCATTGTAGGCCTCAGGGCCCAGAGTGACATTCTTCTCTTCTGGTCCACTTAACTTCAGCACATAGCCATCTCGGGCTCCTGGCCCTGGCTGCCAGCTTGCCCAGAGCCCAGAGGGCACAGGAGTCAGCACCAGGTCCAATGGGGCAGAGGGATCTGTGGAAAGGGGCAAATGCTGCTTAAGGACTACATACCAGGTGAGAACACAGAGTGACTGAGAGTAGGAGCAGAGCTGTTGCTCTTTGCAACAACTGCTTTCTACACGCACCGGGCCATGTCCCCCTCATCTAGATGTTAGACTAAAAACTGGTTTCATGGCTAGTTTTCATAAATCTATTTGCCACACACTGGATGAACACCAGGACCTGGATAGTTGTCACGTGGCCATGGACAACAATGACAAAAACAAGAGCATATTTGTGTCCAGCAGAGTGGTTCTGAGGACTCTGCATGCAGTGTCTCACACTTAACCCTCACAACATAAGGACCTGGACACCAGCCTTTAAAGATACTGACACCCAGAGAGTGTATGCAACTTGTCCAGAGATCCACAACAGTGGGTGGCAGAAAACAAAGCGAGAACGCAGGCAGCTTGGCCCCTCACCTGCCAGCCGTCGCTCATCAGCGATTCTCAGAGTGGGAAGCTCAGTGTCCTGTGGGGTCTGCAAGTGCCCACCCCAGGTCCAGACCAGGCCCCAGGTGTGACCTGAGCCTCTGTCCCCGTGCACCTCCGTTCCCTGTACTGTATCACAGGGTAACATGACTACCTAGGGCACTCTTGAGAAATAAATGAAAGCATATGCAGAAGGTACCAAGAACAGAGCCCACCCCAGAGAAAGGCCCAGCTGACGGTAACCAGCACTTCTGACATCATCTTCTTGGGTGGCCACCAGGCAACTGAAGGGCACACTCTCTACGCCTGCAAAAGACATCCACTCCCCCACCAGCAGAATCTAGCCTCCTTACTGGAACAGAGGAGCTGAGCACACTCTGCTGGGTCCCTGTGCCCCTCACTTACAGGTCCACTCCGTAGCATTGGGCCCCATGACCTGATGGGGCCCTGCAGCAGCCCTGAGTGTCAGCTCATAGCGGGTTCCTGGACACAGGTGGAGGAAGGTATGATTTGACACTCCTCTTTGGACAATCACAGTCATGTTTGAGCCACTTAGGAGGTCTGTGAGCACCAGATGGAGCCAGGCTGCCCCCTCAGAGCTGTTCCAGGAGGCTTGCAGGATGCTGGTGCCCAGCGCATGCAGCAGCAGGTGATTTGGAGCCACAGGGTCTAAGGGGGGATGGTGGAGCAAAGCCAACCTTGAGAAAGGGCCCTGAAGCCAGATGCCAACATTGATTTTGGCCCTCAGGATCCCAGGAGGCCAGCCATATGGGGACCCAGATGCCTACAAGGCTCTGAGCTCACCATCTCTCCCGCCTCTCCCAGATTGGCTGCCACCCAGGGCCCTGCCTGGTACCCAACTTACCTGTCCACTGGTGAGTGCTGGTCTTGGCCTGGAGATCACCAGCCCAGGCGGTAACCTCTAAAACATACTTGCTACCTGGCAAGAGGTTGCCAAAATTATAGGACAGGATGTCTGGGGACACAGAGATGTTATAGGCCAATGTCTGCGATTCTTGGTGTAACAGGAGCAGTTGGTAGCTGTCTTGCTCCCCAGGGCCATTACCCCATGAGGCTTCCAGGCTGCCTAGGCTTCTGCAGCTGCGGAGCTGCAGTCCATGAACAACAGATGGGGCTGCACCAAGGAATAAAGAAGCACCATGGTCAGTGCGACAGGCCTTCACCCCTTCTCATGGGCTCTGATACCAGAACTGCTTCTCTGAGAAGCCACCTTCTTCAGCTACCCTGACCCGGTGCCTCCTGCTCTGGTCCTGGGCCTAGCCCCTTTCCCTCACCCTCAAACCTCTTACCAGTGCGGGCCATGAGGGTAATGGTGACATTCTGCCCACAGGATCGCAGGGTGGTCACTTGTAGCTGGTAGTGACCCCCTGGCACCAGGTCTTGGAACTCAAAGCTGGAATCATTGGTATGGGCCTGGAGCGGCTGCTCTTCGGAGGAGCCGAGTGGGCTCAGACGAGTGAGGAGGAGGGCATGGCCAAGCCCACCCGACTGTGCTGCGGCCCAGCTCAGAAGGAGGCTGGTAGGCCTTCCCTGGCTGCTGATGTTCACGCTTAGGGGGGTGCCTAGGATAAAGGGGTGCGTTCAGTCTCCCAGAACCCCTTCTTCCCTAAAGGAAGAGGAATGGCCGAAAGGGGGCGCTAGAGCAGGACCCAGCATCAGAATTATCCCCACACACACCCCCACTCCTTACCCCAGAGCCCATCCCCCAAAACACCTACCTCCACCCTCCCCATCTGGTTGCCCTTCCAGGGAGAGGCATGAGTCCTCCTGCAGGAAGTAGGGAAGGAGATGGGGAGAGGCCTTTGGGGTCCAGGCCTCTGGGAAAGGCAGCAGGGTGCAAGGCCAGGATAAAGAGAAATACCCCCAAGCACATCCTGCAGGGCATCTCCTGGAGGCCTAAGGTGTGAAGGGCACTGAGGGCTGGAGCCATCTGTCTGTTCATGTTGTCCTGAGCTGGCTAGGTGGGAAGGGAGCAGCCGCCCTTCCTGCCTAATGCAGACCAGCTGTGGGGCCCAGGGGAGAGGTGGGAGGCCTGCACATGCCCTGGACAGCAGGAGCCCTCCCACTGGGCCCTGTCCCCCATGCCCATCCTACCTTGGCCAAAAAACCGTGGAGCCAGAGGACAGCAACAAACAGGCCTGGGAGCCTCATACCGATGATGTCTACAGAGGAAAAATTGGGAGGCAACGGGAGGAGGAGGCAGTCCCCCAGCCCGCCCTTGCCCTGCTGGCAGCGGGCGGGCAGATGGGCAAGGGTGGGAAGGGTGGCGTTTCAAACAGATGCAGGCAACAAAGAGTCAGGGGTTGCTTCTGAACCCCAGCCTCTGAACCCAGCCCCACCCCAGCTTGGCACAGCTTAGTGAGGGGAGAGAGGCGGAGGCTGGCAAAGGGCCCAGAAGGTGGAAGGGATTGCAACTCCCAGACTGCAGCTGAACCCACCTCCTCCTTTCCTCTTCCACTGCCAGCAGCTGGCTGTCCAGGAAGAAGTCCTAAGCTTGTGGAGAACAGGAGCAATGGCCTTGCAAAGGGACATATGTAGCACAGCTGCCAACTCCCCCGCTCCCTGCCCCGGAAGCGGAGCTGTGTGATAGACAAGGGGTCTGAGTTTCCATGGGGGGGCCCAGTCTCCATCCCCCTCCCACGGGTAGGTTTTGAGCTCAGTGCAGATGGCTGCTGAGTGTGTGTCCCCTTTGAGCATCCAGCGTGGCACCATGCTCTAGTGGGTCGAGGCATGGAAAAACAGCCTTCAGGCCCGAGTCTGTGGCAGACCTGGCCCTTGGCACTCATCTGTCCCACTGAACTGGAACCTGGGCCTGCTGGCTCCATAGAGCACAGAGGGCAAACTGCTCCTGATCCCCATGCTGCAGTCCTCTGCTTGGATCCCTCAGGGTGTTGGCTGTCTAGGATGTTTGCCTGCCTTCCCCACATATTCCCTCTAGGTGAGCATCACCTGTCCTGGTTCCCTGGGCCCTCACAGCCCCCAACAGGCTGCAGAGGCCCAGCTGAGCTTTCATGGGACATGGCCTAGAAGATGTGGCCCTCAGACTTCACTGTATTCCACTGGAGCCAGCTGCTCAGTGGGTGCTGCTCACCCAGGTGCTCCTGCACCGAGACTGCAGGTGGGAGGCAGGGGAGGGGCAGTGGAAGCCTCTACTGGGCCCTGGGAAGAAAGCCCAGGATGCAGCCGCTCAGGAAGCAAGTTGCATAAGAAACAGACAGGTGCAGAGTCTGTGAACAGCAAGACAGCCCTGGGAGGGGCTGGAGAGATGGCTCAGTGGTCTAAAGCACCTACTTGAAACAAGCTTGTCAAAGCACAGGGACTGCGGTTCGATCCCCCAGCACCACATGCCAGCCAGCCCCGCCCCCTGGTGGGCTGAGCTGGCCACACACACACACAATAAATACATGTAATAAATAAATAATTAAAAAAAAAAAAAAGACAGCCCTGGGGGTGTGGGGACTCCCCCAGAGCCTGTGTTAGAGACAGTTCAGCCTGGCACTCACTCAGGCCAGCGCTGGGGGCTGCCGCCCTCCCCTATCCACCCAGCCCCAAACCTCAGAGCCGCCCACCGGCCCTGGATTGGGGCCTGGAAACAGCACTGCAGACTCATCAGATTTTCCAGGGAGAGAGAGAGAGAGAGAGAGAGAGAGAGAGAGAGAGAGAGAGAGAGAGAGAGAGAGAGAGAACACAAGCACATAGTGCTCTTCTAAAAGAATCAGGGTGGGGGCTAACAGAGAAGCAGATGTGAAAGGGGAGAGGTCCCCATCCCTGTCTGGAGGAATGTGGGGCCACAGCCCACCTTGGTCCTTCCCCACACCTCACCTGGGGACACCTCACACTCTTTCTAGCAGAGTCTTCAGTGGCAGCCACAAAAGGGAGAGGCAGGTGGGAGCATCCTAATTCAGGATGTAAGCAGAGGAGATGAGGCAGGACATGGTGTAAAAAGGCTCCCAAGGATGCCCACAGAAGAGAGGCCTGTTGTGAGGTATAAAAGGCCCTCCTGCCAGCCCCTCACCCAATCAAGGCTGCTTCTGGGAGGGATAGGGGGGCTCTGGAGGGGACACAGAAAGGGTCTAGCTGAGAAGAATTTCCACCTACTCTCACCCCTATGCACAGGGTAAGCCTCTCCATTCAGCAAAAATGTACCACAGGGCTATAACTCCTCCCCGGCAGCCAGCCGCCCCCACAGACAAACCCACATCCTTTCCCTAGAGAACCCCTGGGGTCCTCCCAAGGTCTCAGAGCACCTTACTGGTTCCTTCTGGAGAGAGCCAGCCAGGAGACAGAGGAGGGTGGCTGCAGGTCCCTGCTCCAGCTCCCCAGTGGGAACCAGCCTGCCCTGCCCCTGCAGCCGTCCCAGGCGGGTGGCTCTTCCGGCCCCTCTTCTGTTCTCCCCCAGCCTGAAGCCAGGCCTTGGGCATCTCCCACACTGGAGGGAGATAATCACCAGGCAGGAGAGGACAAGTCACCCACTGTCCCTCCCACAACCTGGAGAAGGTCACCAGGGAAGGAGGGAGGCCCAGATCCCCTGAGCAGACAGTGGGGTGCTGACTGCATACAGACTGACTGTGCTTATGAGCGCACACAGCATCCTCAGCGTACACACCTGTCTGCTGAGATGCATAAGTGGACATCCGTGGACAACATGGAGCTAGAGGGAGACAGGAGGCCCGCTGGAGAAAAGGGCCACATTGTGGAACAGATGTCTGTTTTGCTGATTGTGGGCTTGGGTGGAAGGAAAGGCAGCTGCACTTCCAGGTCCCTTGTTCCAGCAGCAGGCAAAGAACTGAACTCTTCCCAGAACTGTGCAAGGAGGGCCTAGCTCCCCATGTTGCACCGGCCTGGCTCACTGTCCCTCATCCAGGGTGAGGTGTATGGGAAATTCCCCTTTGCTGGCAGGCACCAGAAAGGTAGCACAGGGAAACTGGGTCACCGTGGGGGTGGCATCTAGGATGGCCAGCCAGGGGTGCACCTGGAACATGCCCAATGGGCCTCTCTTCCCTTCCCTCACAGCCTTTCTCTTCTCTGGTGTCTCCCCTCCTCCTCCCTGAGCTGGGCCTCTGTCTCCTCCACACTGTCAGGGACAAGCCTGGGCCTGCAGTCTGAGCAGACAAGGCAGCTTAGGCTGGCCCCAGGTTTGAGCAGGGAGGGAGAAGACTCAGAAACAGCCACCTCAGATCCGAGAGCTTCTCCAGAATGAAGGAGGACAGCTGGAGAGGACAGCAGGACAAGTGGAGGGTGTGAGACCCAAGACTCCCAGTCCCCACAGCCAGCCCTTTCTCTGAGATCCCCCTGGGAACTTTAGGGTGACAGCCTTTGCCTCCAGGGGCCCTCAGCAGTCTGCCCAGGAGGTCCCCCACTCACTAGGTGCTGCCAGGGAACAAAGACTTCTGGGAATTGCAGATGCTCTCTCTCCCCATATGCTAGGAGGTTCTGACCCTTGGGACAGGGAGCTGTGGCTGGCTCACAGGGCCCCAGAACTGGGAATAACTAGGGAGGGCTAGGGATTGGGCAGTGTGTGTGTGTAAGACCAGAGCAAGAGCAAGCCTCAGATGTGCCAAGACTTGTGTTCCCACCTTGCACTGGCCCCCTCTGGGCCTGACCTGGGGTCTTGGACACCAACCCAGCCCTCTGGAGCAGACTATACCCCCTCTGGGCTGCAGGAAGCCACTCCGTCTGGGAGCTCCCCACTCCTGCTGGAACCCCAAATGGGCTGCAGTGAAGAGGGTGGGGAGTATCTGGTATGAGATCCCACTCAGCTACCACAGCTCCCTACACCCACTTGACTGCCTGGGCCCTCCCTGGCCAGTTTCCCCTGCTTCTGCTCTGACTGTCCCTGCTGTTATGATCCTTAGTGTCAACCCCCCCGGGAGGCATGAGGCTGCTGAGGGAACTCGGGGCAGCTCAAGGTCATGCAGCTACTGAGCCTGTTTCCTCAGCACATACAGCTCTTCCTGGCTTCCAACCATGACTGTATGTTCTCTGGAATCACAGGTAGCTGGAATCTAAGTCCTAACCCAGGAAGACAAGTCAGCAATCTGAGCGACAGAAGTTTGAGAGCTACCAGGACAGGGCCACCCCCAGGAAGTTGCCAGCATCTGGGATGGTGTACAGCATACTCCAGAGAGGAAGAGAGGGATGGGCCAGGCTCTCAGGCCAGAGGGAAATGCTGGTACTGCCAGAGGACATGTGTTTTTTTCCCAGCTGGGGCTCTGGCCACCTCACTTCTGTGGATGTTCAGGTGTTTAAGGCAAAAGAGAGGAGTGCGCAGGAGTTCAGAAATGGCTGTGCCCTCCACCCAAACCCATGACAGGCATTGACAGGGCCTCAGGGTCCTGCCTAATGCCCAGCATCATCCTCACCACGCTGCCAACTACCGTCACCATTCTCCTGGCTCCCAGCATGCACACTCTGCCCAAGAGCTCAGCTCCCAACCTTAACTGGACACCAGCCTGTGAAGGGACAGGAGTGACCTTATGGCCAACAGGTCTAGACCGTGGAAACTTGGAAGCTCTGGGCAGCTGGTGGGGAGGACTGTGCCCACTTCCTCCTCCCCCACCCTGTGGTATCCTAGCTTCCTGTTCTTGATCACAATCAACAGCGGCCCCAAGGGGGGAGCTCTTCCTCCCAAGCTCTTTCTGTCCCCTCCTTTATTCCAGGGCTTCCACTGTCCACCAAAGGAAGCATTGACCTGTGTGGGGAGGTCGAGGCAGAAGCCAGCCTCAGGTCCCTGCCTACAAGTATGCTAGGGATTCCCAGGCTCCTGCTCCTTCTACCTCATCCTGGCACTGCAGCCAACAGCTTCACCCACTCTCCTTGGCCTCCTCCTCAGGGAAATCCACCCACCACCTGAGGAACACAAATGACAGGGAAGAGGGACCCAGGATCAGCCAACCAAGGAGAGGCCGGGAAAGAGCCAGTCCCCTCCCTTGTGTCAAGGGCAAGGGCAGGGGCCACAAGCCCCCCTGAGCCTCCAAAGGTCATCCTTATCTTTCACCTGAGCCCTTTTGCCCCATGGGCCAGCAGAAGGCTAACCCCCTCCCCACCGCCCCTGCTGTGTGCCCCCCGCACCCTTGTGCCTATTTATTGTACATCATTTCTTTTTTGCTGTCACCTTTTGACAGCTGAATCGGAGAAGTGGGAGGAAGAGAGAGGATCGGGATTGTGTGTGTTGGGGCAGGAAAAGAAGGGAGTTTGGAATGTTCCAAGGCAAAAGGAGCCGTGTAAAGATCGTGACCATGAACCAGCCTGACTGTGCGCCAGCAAGAGCCTTAGGCAGCCAGGGGGCCGTGGACTCCTGGACTGGGAGGCCACTCCAAGGTGCCCCAGCGGCAAAGAGGACCTGGCAGTCCCTGGGAAGCCCAGAGCCTGACAACTAGCTGTAAGTCTTCTGAAAAGACAAGGAGGGCCTTGGGTACCCCCCAGGCTCTCAGAGGCTGCACACAGGTGTAGGATCAGGGCCTGCAGAGGGTTCTGGCCTGGCCGTGGCACTTCCTTCCTGTGCAGAGTGGGATTCCTGCCTGTTCTTCCACCAGCCCACATCTGTGCCACCTCTGCTCTGGGCAGATGTGGCCTGTGCTTGGCTGTGAATTCCCAAGGATTGAAGCAGCAAGAGCTTCCCAGGAGAAGGCTCTGGGATGGAAGCAGAGATGAGGAAACAAGTAGCTAAGGTAGGGAGAAGTCAGAGCAACCTGGGGCTCTTGGAAGGAGACACAAAGCTGGGAGGCTGCTGAGCTCTGCCCAGGAAGCTGGCCAAAGCAGGACATAATAAGAACCCAGCAGTGAATATGGCGGGAGGGAGTGTGGTTTGGGAGCCAAGGAAAGTGGAGTGGTCAGGGAAGGCCCAGCCCTTTGCCCACTTCTAGGACACCCACAGCCAGCCCCTAGGGGACACAGGCAGAGGCACCCGACCCCTGGTGGCAGCTGCAGCAGTCGCAGGAGGGCAGCGCAGCTGGGGTGTGCGTGGGTGGAAGCGAGGAGGGGCGGAGGGAGGAAGCTGGCTTCCTGAAGCCTTCTCAGCCCTCAAAGACAGACCGACAGACAGAGACAGACAGCTGGCAAGGAGCAGCCTGGGGACACAGCTGCTTCAGTAAGTATCTGAAGAAGGGGCAGACGTCCATGGTCTTGAGGCCGGGTGAACCCCAGGGAAACAGGAGAGCATCTCGGAGGAGGGCATGTGGGAAGGTGAGTTGGGGACCCCATGCCTGGCTGGGGAATGAGTGCTGGTACGCCCGCCATCCCCACAGCTTGGAAGGGAGGGATGCCACAGAGAGAGCAGGAGCCAAAGGGCCCGCTCTTCCTATGGGCAGCCCTCTCAGTCTCTGACAATTGCACCAGCCTACGCTGTCTCCTCGACTCCAACCCTGTGGGCTTACCAACCCAATCCGTCACCTTGGCACCAGGGACCCTGACTCTGGGAGAAGGGGGCTGTCCCTCAGAGGAGGTGGCCTCATCACCTCCATGGGGCCTTCTCCCCATGGTGAGCTGTCGCCTCACCATACACTGTCACTCAAGGGCTTGGTGAGGCCATTTCCTGTGACGGTTACAGAGGCGGGAGATGGGGGGATGGGCAGGAGGAGGAAGGAAACACCCCCGGCCTACCTCCCTGGACAGAAAGAGACCCCAGAAGCCAGAAGCGGTCTTGGGCATGGAACTACCAACAGCTAAGAGAGACACTCGCCTGCTGGCTCTCCAACTGGCTCCAACGCTGCCACCAGCCCCCAATTTGTCATTCAGAGAAAGCCTGCTGGCTGGACATAGAGATGGTTTCTGCGCACTTCTTCTCATTCCTCTGCAGGACAGTTTACGTCCCTTCCCTTGCCTTTTCTCACCTGCACCTCAGTGTAGCCCTCTGTGCACCTTGGTGTCTCGTCTTTCTTCTTCCTTCTGGATTCCTTCTCTCTTCATCCACAATCTCCACCCTTGCACCTTGCCCTTGCTATAACCCCAGAATGTCCACTGCCTGGCCACTACCAAAGAGTTCTTGTCCATTGTAAGGTAAAGATTGCCCCTTTTCAGGGTCAGTTTAGGGCGAGCAAAGACACCCCCAATGAAAACAGCTTACCACTGGCCTGGGCTTGCAAGCGTCCTTCTGGCTCATCTGGTGGGCCAGATGCCAGCATCCGTGGGACCTTCTCTTCTAGGCAAACAGCATGGCTGAGTGAGCCGCCTGGGCCAGCACCCACCCCAGCATGGTCCAGGCCTGTGGGGGGCACTCCAGACAACAGTTGACGGCCTTATCTTGGGGGGTAGCCATGAGCCAGCCTCCACCCGCCAAAGCACCACCCAAGAAGCATGTGCGGCTGCAGGAGAGGTGAGATCTTTCCTGGGGGCAAGTTCTTCCCAGCCCTAAGCCCTTCCCTCCTTCTGCCCCTCCAAGCTCTGGCAGCTGACTTCAGAGGGCCCCAGGACTTGACTCCAGTCTGGAAAAGAAACCAATAATGTTCACTTGCATGTTGTTTCCATGTCCTTTACATGTCTGGGGCACAGTTTGTGTCTAACTAGGCCTGCTCCCTCAATGCCAACTTAGGCTGCTACAGACTTTGGGGCAAGGCCACAGAGGCTGCCCGATGCTGGGTGTGGGTCGGAGTCTCACAGGAGGTGGGCAATGAGGTGGGCAACTGACAAGGAGCAGTGGGGCTCTAGGCTGTTCCATTAGGGTTAAAGAACTGAGGAGGGCATACAGAAAGAGCTTGAAGACTGGACCTCAGGGGTCAAAGGAAAGACCTCCTCAGATGTGCACCGTAGCAATAATTGTAAGACAATAATTATAAGAAAAGCAAATATCAATGAAGGCTCACAGGACACTTGTTGGCTATGCCTGCAGGCGGGGCTCCAATGTGGCTCTGATGCTGGACGTGAAGTCCCTGGGCACCGTGGAACCCATCTGCTCAGTGAACACACCCCGTGAGGTCACCCTACACTTTCTGCGCACAGCTGGACGTCCCCTTACCTGCTGGGCCCTGCGGCACCAGCCCCCCAGCCCCAAGCAGCTGGAAGAGGAATTCTTGGTAAGAACTTGAGGTCTCCTCCACATTGCTCTGAAACAGAGGCAACCAGGTGGTCCCACTCCCTCTCAGGCAACCGTTCAGGACTCTTAGGAAGCAAACCCCAGGACTGAGGTGGAGAAGCTGATCCCCTGCTTCCTGTTTTGCTCTCCAACCCTCCTGGGCCTATAGGCCTAAACCAAGAAGGGATGGCTAGGGCTCAATTCTACCAGAAAAGGGTGAGAGGGATGAGGAGGAGGCTGGGGAAGGTATCTGTTGCTCACTTATTTCTCCCCCTGCCAGAAGATTCCCTCAAACTTTGTCAGCCCAGAAGACTTGGATATTCCTGGCCACGCCTCCAAAGACCGGTACAAGACCATTTTGCCAAGTAAGGATAATAGTGGGAACCAAAGGAGGTGGGCCCTGTCCTGAGGCTGGGGAGCTTCAGAAGGAAGGTGCTCAACTTGGGCCAGTGAAGGACCACAGCACCCAAAGCATCCTCTGTAGCAGAGAAATCCCATGCCGCGTCCTGGGGGGAAGGCACAGGGACGCCAAGGACAGCATTGGCAGATACTCACTGTGGGCTAGACACTGCCCTATATCCTTCATACAAAGCCATTTCTCCCAATGTCCCCATGCAATGGGCACTGTGGCATCAGTATACCCGTCTGGAATGAGGAAACTGAGACACAGAAGCGTGGCCTAACTTTCCCAGGGTCCCAGAGCTGGCTGCACCAAGCCTTCCTCCTCTTCCTCCATGTGGAGACATAGTGGAGAAGCTCCATCAGGATGGCTCCCCAAGAGAGGGCTCTGAGAACCCCACATGGAGGCAAGGCAGTGACAAGGAGGAGACACTGGGCTGTACGGGGTTGACCCCACAAGCTGACAGACCCAGGGTGTGCACCTCAGATTTTTTTAAGGCAGCCTATGAGGCCCTCGGAGCCTCTTCCACCTGCCCCTCTTTCTTTTTTATTTTTTGGGGATCAAACTCAGGACCTAACGCTTAGCAGGCAGGCACGCACTTATGCTACTGAGCTATCTCCCCGGCCCTGCCCCACTTTCTTACCTCGCTAGCCCACCTCTAGTTATACCCAGGCTTGAAGCCTGAGTCAGCCATTCCATGTCCTACCTCCCGGTGTCCCTCTCCCTCTGCCCTCTGCCTGCAGGGTGGCTCAGAGGTTGTGTGTGTCAGCACAGGGTGAAGCCCTTGTCCTTGTCCTGATCCTAACTAGTCCTGCAGCCACCAGGGAGAAGTTCCCTTTGCCCTCATCTCCAGAGGGCCCTCTGTCTACAACCAGGCTGGCACAAGCAGAGAGAGAATCTCCCTCTCTTCCTCACAGGCCCACTGCTTTGTCTTTGTGAAGGTTTGATCTGGAAAGTCCATTCTCTTTAGGGGGGACAGTATATACCTGCTGGGGGTGGATCTGACTCCAGTCCTGTTTCACCACTATGTGACCTTGGGCTAGTCATTCATCTGAATTCCTAGTCAGGGTCAGAGAAATAGCATCTCCTTTTTCCATTCCCTGTTGCTGCAGCCCTGCCTACACCAGCACTGAACAGGAGGGGAGGATTTAGGGTAGCTTCCGGGCAGCCTCTGCTGCTGCTTTCCCTTTCTTCTCTAGTGCAACCTCCATAACACTGAGTCTTTCCAGACTATTGGGTGTTGGTTTGTTTGTTTTGTTCAGTTTGCAGCACTAGAAACTGAATCTAGAACCTCACACTATGCAAGTACTCTGCCACAGAACTATACCCCCAGCCCTTTGTATCTTATTCTAAGCCAGGATGTTGACAAATTAGCCAGGTAACCTCAAGTTTGTGGATCTCCTGCCTTAACCTCCTGGGATTACAGGGGTGTACCTGGCCAAATCATTACAGGCGTGTACCTGGCCAAATCATTGCTATGAGCATACTACTTCCATGCTCAAAAGCATTCTGTGACTCTCTATTATTTATTTATAAAACAATTCAATGAGGCCAGGCATGGGGGCATACGCCTGTAATCCCACATACTTAAGAGGCAGAGAGGTAGATGGACCACAAATTCAAGGCCAGCCTGAGCAACGTAACGAGACAACGTTTCAAAATCTAGAAGAGAATTTTTAAAGCGATGGGTAAGTAGCTCAGATAGCGCGTGCAAAGTCCTGGGCTCAGTTCCTAGCACTGCAAAAAATAATAAATAAAAAAGGATAGGAATACAGTTTAGTGTTCCCCTAGGTTCAAACCTAACAACAACAACAATTATAATAACAATGTCAGCGAGCACTAATCAGGCCACCTGCTATATACAAGGTACTAAGATGCACACAAGAGCACTCTTTCCTCTGTCCCTGTGAGAGTCTGCATTAGTTGGTCACCTTTTGACCTCTGACCTCTGCTGCCATTTGCTTCCTAGATCCCCAGAGCCGTGTATGTCTTGGCCGGGCACAGAGCCAGGAGGATGGTGACTACATCAATGCCAACTACATCCGAGTGAGTAGCCTAGCTTCAGCAGCTGTGGGTGATGGGGGGCTGGTTGTGAAGATGTCAAGAGTCTCTCCCAGCTGTGACTGGTGGGTCAGATGCTAAGGAGCCTACCTCCACTACAACTCACTATTCCCATAGCCCTGCCAAGCCAGAATAGAGACTGAGAGGACCCCAAGACAGCATCCCAGAAAACACAGTAGATATTAAATATTAGAGAGAGAGAGAGAGAGAGAGAGAGAGAGAGAGAGAGAGAGAGAGAAACACTACCCAATCTCCCTAACCTATTCTGTCACTTTATTCCTACCCTCTGAACTTGGCAGGAAGTTAGCATGGTTGAAATCCAAGGCACACCTGTAATCCCAGCACTTGGGAGGCTGAGCAAGGAGAATCTCCTTGAGCTCAAGTTCAGCCTGTACTGCAGAGTGAGACCTTATCATTAAAAAAAAAAAAAAAAGAAGAAGAAGAAATCCAACACTAGCTCCTTAGGGATTAATTGCTCCTGAGATCTGCTTGAGAGGCCAACACCAGTGAGCGTCCTTGTCCCTCTTTCTCTCCTTCTCATTTTCCCGCAAGCAGCCCTCCTTTGTGGAAATGGTTCAATTAATGTCCAGGTAATAGGAACCTCAAGGCATGGGAGATTCGCCAGCTTTTGCCTCTATTGGCCCAGAGCGGATGTAAAAGCTGTGCCCTCTGGTGGCCAAAGTGGTAGGACAGTAGTTAGGGGTACAGAAAAGATGAAAGCTACCTGCAGTGAGGAACTGGGGTCCTGAGCTCGTCAGCCTAAACCAGGCCAACAAATAATTGATTTCAGCATCATCTTGAAGACCAGGAAGCTGAGGACTCTGAAGGAAAAAAGACAGGATAGGGAGAAACTGCTTTTTGTGTGTGTGTGTATTTTAGGGAAGGGTCTAAAGATGTTCAGGGTCTCATTACTAGTTCGAACTCATAGTGATTCTCCTGTTTACAGCCTTCCAACAGCTGGGATTACAGGTGTGCACCACCATGCCCAGTCTCAATTACTGCCTCAGGGCAACCTGGGGGTGGGGCTGGCATAGCAGGCCCAGGGATCCAACCCCTAGCCCCTGAGTCTGCTTGCAGGCAATTTAATCCGCTGAGCTATCTGGCCGGACCTCTGCTACATTTTATTGCTAAATATATAATACAAATAGGTGAAACATTCACAAATATTGAACACTGTTTCGTAATAGAAGGAAATAGGGAAGAAAGGGAACAAACATTTATAGGCAAAGGGTGATTAAAAAATACAGTGCATTCATAGAAATCAATAGTATTTCTGAACACCAAAAATGAACCTATTGAGAAAGAAATCAAAAAAGCAGTATGGCTTCAAAAGAATTAAAGGTATTACATAGCTGAGGAAATGAAAGGCCTTCACAATAAAACTATAGTACTCTGGAAAAGGAGATCAAAGAAGATATCAGAAAACATCCCATTCCTAGATAAGCAGACCCAACGTTGTCATTTATGGCCACATTACTATGGCTGACACACAGATTTAATGCAATACCAATACCAATACCAACAGCATTCCTCGCAGAACTAGAACACACAATCCTAAAATTCGTATGGAACCAGAAGAGACCCAGAACAGTAACAGCAATCCTGGGCAATATAAGTAAAGCAAGAAGCATCACAACCTCAAATTTCAAGCTATCGTACACAGCCTCAGTGGTAAAAACAGCAATGAATTGGCACAAAAATAGACATATGAACCAATGGACAGACAAGGCAGGCGAACACATCTCCAGGCACATCTGACCATTTGATCTTTGACAAAGGGGCCTAAAGAACATATGCTGGAGAAACTACAGCCTTTTAAACAAATGGTGGTAGATAAAATGGCCATCCACTTGCAGAAGATTAATCTAGAATCATGGCTTTCATCATGCACTAAAACAAAGTCAAAATAAACAGAGTCCTACATATTAAAACACAAATGCTGAGCCAGTGAGATAACTCAGTGGACTACAAACCTGCTTAAGCAAGCACAGAGACCAGGGTTTGATCCTGGCACCACATGCCAAGTGAGTCCCACCCCTGGCACACTGAGCCGGTGACCAAGTCGGGGCATGGTGGTGTGTACCTGTAATCTCAGCGCTGGAGAGGCTAAAAAGAGGAGGATCTCTATGAGTAAGAGCTGCATGGTGAGATCCTATACCAAATACGAGAGAGAGAGAGAGAGAGAGAGAGAGAGAGAGAGAGAGAGAGAGAGAGAGAGGAAGGAGAGTCTTGTCTTCCCCCCTTTGCCTCCTTGCTTGCTCCCTTCTGCCTGCCATGAATTGTTCCTCCTCTGTAATGTCTGTCGGGCACACCACCCGGCCTTGGATCCAGTTGATTAAGGACTGAATCTTCTACAAACGGTAAGCTAAACAAACCTTTCCCCTTTTATTTTTTTATTGTTTTAAATTTTATTTATTTTTTTCCATAATTTTATTGAGAAACAAATAGCAATAAGACAGCTTTCTCTTTTTAACTTTGGGTGCCACGTATTTTGTCTCAGTAATGAGAGAAAAGTAACTGAGATGCACACTGTATCTTTGGAACACACTTCGTATTCTAGACTCTTGATACTTTTTATTTTACTTAATCCACACTGTATTCCTGAAAAATATTGTTACCTCCAATTTACAGATGAGAAAACACAGACTTAAGAGAGCGTAGGAGACAGCAGAACCAACCTTTGAATTTAGATGTGCCTCACTCCACAGCCCCATCCTGTCCACCATGTGTCTCCGGGGTGTGTTTGTGCTTGTGTGCGTCTACCTGCACGTGCTCACTGACTTCAGCCTGGTCCCTAATCTCTGGTGGTAGGCCTGGGATCTCCCTGGAGCTTGAATCTCACTGCTTCTCCACCTCCCCTTGTGCTTCTGTCCCCAGGGCTACGATGGGCAGGAGAAGGTCTACATCGCGACCCAGGGCCCCATGCCCAACACCATGGCGGACTTCTGGGAGATGGTGTGGCAGGAAGACGTGTGCCTCATCATCATGCTGACACGGCTCCGTGAGGGCAAAGAGGTAGGAGACCGAGCCTCGCTCCAGAACGCCGACAGAGCTGCGCGCTACCCCACCACGCACGTACGCACGCACGCACGTGCCCACGCACACACGCACGAACGTGTGCATGCATCCACGCACCTACGCACGAACGTGTGCAAGCACCCGCGCACTGCTGCTGGGGGCGGAGAGTCTTCCTGGGAGCTGAGAACGCCTCCCAGAAAGGTTCCTGAGACAGCCTAGGCAGGTGGTCCACAACCAAAACCTGGGGTGGGCCGAGCTCTTGGTCTTTAGGACTCAAGTGCAGAAGAGCCAGGCCCCGGTCGCTGACCCTGTATTGGGATCAGAATATGTGGAGGGGAAGCCAGCCCGTCTGCCGCTCCTCTGATCCTGATGGGCCTCCATCTTCTGACTCCCAGCTCCCTTCCTCCTAGAAATGTGTCCACTACTGGCCCACGGAAGAGGAAACTTATGGGCCCTTCCGGATCCGCATCCAGGACATGAAGGAGCGCCCAGAATACACTGTGCGGCAGCTCACCATCCAGGTACTACCACCTGGGCCAGCCCCGGCTGCTGGAGGCTGAGCCACCTTGCCCATCTCTGGAGATCAGGGCTGACCTCTAGCAGCCAAGTTTACTTATCTAAGTCTTAGACCTTAAAACAGGCACTTGAGCCACAGAAGAGGAGAATTGTGGGTATTTTCCTCAGGGAACTTCTAGTTAAACAGGGCAGAGCTAGAAAACCAAATAGCAGCAGTCAAAAGGCACCTCCCACCCACACTGAATGCTCAGCGATCCAGGTGTGGAAGAAATGAGAGATCAAGTACGATAGCACACACGAAGGTGCTCTAAATATGCTTCCTACTCTCCCAGCACTTGGGAAACTGAGGCAAGAGGATTGCCAAGAGTCTGAGGCCAGCCTAGGCTACATAGTCCAAGGCCAGCCTGAGCTACATAACAACACCCTGTCTCAAAAAACAACCACCTAAAATTATTTCTGTTGCATAGTGTTTTACATTTTTCAAAGCATTTCTTGATTCGCTGTTTTCCAAACATCCTGGGAAGTAAAAGAATATCGTATCATTATCTCCATTATTTTTTTGGTACCAGGAATTGAACTCAGGACCCTGTACTTGTCAGACAAGCGCTTATTCTGCTGAGCCATCTCCCAGGCCCTATCTCCTTTTTTTTTTTTTTTTTTAGATGAAGAAAATGAGGGACTTGCCCAAAGCTAGAGGCAGAGACAAGATTTGAACTCGGGCCTTTCTCTCTCCCAAGACAATGTTCCTGCTGGTCTTTTAGGGTGGGGAGTGGTGGCAGATGAGCTTTGCCTGCTGCGACTCCCCTCGGGGTGATGCCAGCCTTCATCCTCCACTGGCACCGGATGAGGTGGGCAGTGTCCCAGCTCTGACCCTGGGTCTCACATTGTGTCTCCACTACAGCACCAAGAAGAATGCCGCTCAGTAAAGCACATCCTCTTCTCAGCCTGGCCTGACCACCAGACTCCGGAATCAGCTGGGCCCCTGCTGCGACTGGTGGCTGAGGTGGATGAGAGCCCAGAGACAGCCACCAACACTGGGCCTATCGTGGTCCACTGCAGGTGTTGGCTCCTCTACCTCCTCCTCTACTTCTGGGTCTCTCCTGGAAATGGTCTCAGCAGATCAGGTTCATTCTGGTCATTCAGCAAATGCTCTGCCTTTTTGAGCTCTTTTGCACAGAAACTGGCATCTGGTGGGACACCCAGACACCATCCAGGGAGAGGATAAACGTGTCCCCTGCTGGTAGACTCTCATCTATTCGTTCCACAAATAGTTCCTGAAAACCTATTATTGTCAGGCACAGTGTTAGACACTAAAGACACAGCAGTGAACAAAACCATTTGCTTTCACCCCTGATGCATGTACAGCTTGCTGGAAATGGCAGCAGATTAAACACAGGACACAAATGTAATGACAGCTAGGATGGGGTAGGTGGGGAACACAGGACCAAGTTGTCTGACCCAGACCTCAGCCAGAGAAGGGATTCCAAGATAAATGACATGGAGCTACACAAAGGCTTGAAGCAGAATTAGCTAAGGGAAGAGGGGCAAGGGGAAGCATTCCAGGCCAATGGAACAGCATTTCCAAAGACCCAGAGAAAGAACTAAAACGTGGAGGCACTGCTGGGAGCAGAGTTGGTGGGCGGAATGGGGGCCATGTGGGAACAAGGATGCATCCGGAAGGCAAGTGAGGTCCATGTGAAGAGGGGTCTTTTAGAAACTGTTAAAACACTTGAATTTGCCCACTTGCCTGCCTGCTTGCCTGCTCGCTTGCTTTCTTTCTTTTCCTTCCTTCCTTCCTTCCTTCCTTCCTTCCTTCCTTCCTTCCTTCCTTCCTTCCTGTGTGGTACTGGAGATTGAACCTAGGGCTTTCTCACTGAGCTACATTCCCAGTCTTTTACAAAAAAAATTTATTTGGGGCTGACCAGCTAGCTCAGCGGAGTCAAGTACATGTTTGGCAGAACACAGGGGCCGGGGTTCGATCCTCAGAACCACATGCCATGCAGGCCCCCGCTCCTAGGGCACGCTGAGACAGCAGTTGAGACTGGGTGTAGTGGCGCATGCCTGTAATTCCAGCGCTTGGGAGGCTGAAAACAGGCAGATCACTGAGTCCAGTCTACATAGTGAGACCCTGTAGACCCTGTACTAAATTTTAAAAAATATATATTTGGAGATAAGATCTTGCTATATTTGTTACTCAGACTGCTCTCAAATTTATAATCCTCCTGTCTCAGCCTCCCAGGAGGCTGGGATTACAGATGTGTGCTACCATGCCCAGCTTTTTTTTTTTTTTTTTTTTTTTTGAAGTACTGGGAATTGAACCCAAGAACTAACTGTAAGATGCATCCTCAGTTCCTTTTCTTTTCTTTCTTTTTTGACACTGGGGATTGAACCCAGGGCTCAGTGCATGCAAGTCAAGAACTTTACCACTGAGCCACATCCCGGCGCGCCCCCCCCCCCAGTTCTTCTTATTTATTTACTTTTAAAATTTTTGAGACAGAGTGTTGCTAAATTGTCCTAGCTGACCTTGAATTCATGATCCTCCTGCCTCTGTCTACTAGATAGCTGGGATTATAGGCACGTACCATTACATCCTGCTTTATTTTTTTATTTTATGCTTCTCTCCAGTGGTGGGAATAGAATCAAGTGTCCAGGATTTGCAGTTTTTTGGTTTGGTTTGGTTTGGTTTTGTTTGATTTCATCTTTTTGAGTCAAGGTTTTACCCTGTAGGCCAAGCTAGCCTGGAATTCCTAATGATCCTCTGGCCTCAGCCTTCCCCAGTTCTGGGATTACAGGCATGTGCCACCACACCTGGCATGGATTTGCCATTTTAAAAGTGCTTTGGAACCCGGGGAGTGCTTAGTGGCAGAGCCCTTGCCATTGTTCGCAGAGCTCCGAGTTTGAGCCCCAGAACCATGAGCTGGGAGAAGGGAGTTGCGTTGGTTACCCAGGGAAAGCAGATTAGGTAGATTGGGGTAGGGTGAGGCAGAGACAAGATTTGAAACAAACGTGGAAGTAAACTTCCCAAAGCAGACTCAAAAAGCACAGATGGAAGGACACCTGGAGTCATCAGTGGTTTGGATCAGAGGCTCAGGAAGGCCGAGTTGCCACAGAAGAGGAGGTCAGAGAGGGCTTTGAAATAAAGAAAGTGCAAAACAGAGAGGAGCAGAAAGAAGAGATGGAGGCGGGGAGCAGAGGGGCCCGCTGTGGCCGTGGAGCCAGAGCTGGGAGGAAGTCACAGTTAGATAAGGAGGGCTGAAGTGGTCAGCCAGCCCACAAGCAGGGCAGTGTCACTGCAAACTGTTGGAGACCGTTAAGCAGAAGAGCGCTCATCAGCTTGTCCACAGGAACCGGAAGGTGACCTGGACAAGGCCTGGAGCAAGCCCTGTGAGAAGCACAGCCTCCTGCAGGGCCAGCTGCCAGCTGTCCCAGCAGGCCTAGGGTTGCTGGCATCTGGTCTTTTTTGTTTTGGTTGGGTTTGGATTTGGGTACTGGGAATTAAACTCAGGACCATGTGCTTTCCAGACAGGCACTTGTGCTGCTGAGCTATCTCCCTGGCCCTGGAACCTGGTCTTGTTCCATCCCCAGAGCCCTGCCCAGACACAGCACCTTAAGCCCATTTCTTTCTCCATGGTTTGGCGCCCGCTCTCCTAGTCCCTGCTCATCTGCCTCCCACGTTCCCTGGTCTCTGAGGCCTCCCCAACTTCCCTCTGGCTTTCCCAGTGCAGGGATTGGCCGGACTGGATGCTTCATCGCCATCCGAATTGGCTGCCAGCAGCTGAAGGCCCGAGGGGAAGTGGACATCCTGGGCATCGTGTGCCAGCTGCGGCTAGACAGGTGAGTCCACAGTTGACAGGGCCACCTGTGCTCATGAGTGGCTTTGGCACCTCTGGACTGAGGAGAACTGTTTTTTTTACACTCTGTGTGTGTGTGTGTCTGTGTGCCTGTGTGTGTGTGTGTGTGTGTGTGTGTGTGGTATGTGTGTCTGTGTGTCTAGTACTAGGGATTGAACCCAGGGCCTTCACAGCAAACAACATTCTCAATGCTTTTTTATTTTCATTTTGAGACAGGTTCTTGCTAAAATGCCTGGCTTGGCTCAAACTTTCAATCCTCTTACCTCAGCTTTCCAGAGTTCTAGGGTTATATTTTGCAATTAATATTTAGAAAGAATTCCTATCTGAAATTTTAGATTGGAGGCCTAGAATTAAATATTCTACTCTGTGAATTTATCCTGAGTTTTCAATCTCTCTCTCTCTTTCTCTCTTTTTTTCTTGTTCACTCTTTCCTTTCTTTCTTTTTCTTTCTCCCTCTCTCACTCTCACTCCCTTCTCTCGCTCTCACTCTCGCTCTTGCTCTCACTCTCTCTCCTTTTTCCTTTCTCTTGCTCTCTCTCTCTCGCTCTCTTTCTTCTTCCTGCCTTCCTTCCTTCCTTCCCCTAAATTTCCCACGCAGGGTAGAACTAGGAAGCAGTGTACCATTCTGGATGTTTGGCAGGCACAGAACATACACAGGTTCTCATTGCACTGGGTTCACATTGTGCCTCGTCTCTCAGTGTCACTCCTTCTGTAGCCCCCACACCTCTTTTTTTTCTTCTTTTTCACAGTGCTAGGAATTGAACTGGGCTACATATCCAGCCTTTGTTAGTTGTTTTGCTTGCTATTTTTAATTTGGAGACAAGGTCTTGCAGAATTGCCTGGGCTGACCTCTAACTTGCAACCCTCCTGCTCCAGCCTCCCAAGTAGGTGGGATTACAGGCATGTGCCTTGGTGTCCATACTCTTCCCTCTTTTAGTCCAGAGAGAGACTGGCTTCTCCTTCCTCCAGAGAGCTGCTGGAAGGAACAGATTAACTTACGTGAAAATGTTTTGGAAAACAGGAATTAGTGCTATGTACAAATGTATAGAATGATTTTTTACTTTCAGGATTATAGAAAAGAGAAAAATTGGAAGCAACCCAGAGAAAGTGGGACTGGTTTTTCTCCCAGGGCTGAGGGGATCAGGGAAGACCAAGTGCCAGGGCCTAAGTTAGGGCAGGAGGCTTCAGCAAGAAGGAACAGGAAGCAGCAAGGACACATACACGGGAAGGAGAAAGTCAAGGCTTTCCCAGCGGCCCACAGGATGCCTGGCCTGGGCTGTTTAGCAAGCACCTGACCTCCTGCACCCATGGTTTGTTTCTCCTTGCAGAGGGGGTATGATCCAGACTGCGGAGCAATACCAGTTCCTGCACCACACTTTGGCCCTGTACGCAGCCCAGCTGCCCCAGAAGCCCCGCCCCGACCACTGAGCCTTCTATGAGCCCGGCTGCCAGCCTCCCTTCAGGCCCAGGGAAGTGGGTTTGGAGACTTGGGGAAGAGGTGCTTCAACTGGACAGCACTTATGAGTCCAGGAAGCTGGTTCGACAAGGGATAGGAGCCAGGCTCCTGATTTTCCCCACTGCCGGCTCCTCTGCTTCCTCCAGCAGCCCCTGATGGACAGTGGTGGGGGGGCATGCCTGAACTTAAAGATAGGAGCTGGCACTCGGGTGGCTGAGAGGGAGGCACAGGTGCACTCATCTTTTCGTTGCAAGCTCTGGGTTCCTCACAATGACATGGACACAGGTGTTTTGCTACCACAGGGAAAGCAGTCAGAAAAGCTCCCAGAGGTCATTGCAGCTCTGTCTTCTCCCCTTAGCTGGCAAGATGGTGATCCCAAGCTCATCCTCCACCCAAACATAGGTCAGATACAAGAGCTAGGAAAAGTCTGGTTGATCTGATTCTCAACAGCTTAGCAACTGTGCCCCACACATCTGTGATTGCCAAATGAATCCCCCAAAAGAGAACTAGGACCCAGGTTGACCTTGTTTCCACAGCCATGGCTAGGAGAAGACTACAGGGGTAACCAAGCCGGGCAGTAGAAATCTCTAGAATGGAGAATATGTGGGAATCATTTAGAGGCCAGGAGAGTTGCCCCTGCTTCCCTAATCACCTGCCACTTACCCTAGCTACTCTCTTGGGGGTGACCAACATGCTCTGCTTTGCTTCCATGATGTGAAAAGATACCCCTAATACCCAGGCAGTGCCAAGGATAGAGGAGACAAAGACTTCGGTCTGTTTTGAGAACACACCCCCATATAACCCCCAAAACCTAACTCCCCTCATTTATCTTGGCATCAACCCAATTCCCAGGGGACCTCAGATCTATCTCAGGGCTGAACTACACCCAACAGGAAGCCACCCAAGCCCTCAGCCCTCCTTGGTCCCGGAGGGGATGCCTCCAGGGGTGCAGGTAAGGCACCAGTCCCGCTGGCCCTCAGCCAGGCATCTGCCTTGCTTTGGCTTGGAACCCAGGAGAACCCTGATCCTTTGAGTGGCCTGCTCTCCCTTCCTGACACCTCTTCTGAAGGGTGCTTGGTGCTGTCGCTGAAGTTAATTCTCTGCATGCTTCTGCTTGGCCTTACTGAGGAACTTCCATCCTATGGCCCTGGGATGGGCTCCCCTGCACCTCCACCTGCCTAAGCCTTTGACAAGCACTACTTGTGCTCCTGAGCTAGGTGGAGGTGCTCAAGTGCCTGACCCTGCCCCGTCACACCCAGTCTCAGTCTGGAGGGAAGCGATCACATTGTTACTGGAGGGCATGCCTTCCCACACTGTCACCACACAACTATCACTGTTGGAGAGCTCAGAGGGTACAAGCTCTGGAAAACTAACCAAGTGGAAAAAATAAAGACTTCCTTGATGACTGGTTCATTCCTTCTTTCCTTCTCAAGGTTTTGTTGTTCAGGACCAGGCTGCTGTCTTTACCCCTGGGAATTACTGTTTTCTAGCAGTTTTTAGGATATAAAACAAAGTGAAACTGGAGTCAGTTTAGGAAATGAGACAGAGGTATGCTAACCTAGCCTACCCAGGCTTCAAAATAGCCTAAATGAATGACTTACAAGCAACACAGTTTTGTTTCTTACACTGCTGAGGGCTGGAAACTTGAAAATAGAGGTGCCAATGTCTGCTCAGGGACTGCTTTGTGACTGGCTTGTGGGTGAGGTCCTGAGCTCTGGACTCTCCCTGTCTCCTCTCTTTTACAAGAAGGATAATCCTATTTAATAGGGCTCTGCCCTCCCGACCTAATCACCTGCAGAGGCCCCACCTCCTAATACCATCACGTTGGAGATGAGGAATTCAAAGCTTAAATTTTGGAGAGACAGATATTCAAATGTTGGGCTACACCATGTTTGTATACCTTAGGAGCTAGGGAAAGGCTTACAAAGAGCAGAAAACTAGATACATTGTGCTTAATAAACCAGAATATTCTTCCCGTATAAGACTTTGTGATTCCTCCACTTTTTGACCATTTGTGGTCATCTAACTCTTGAGTAGGCTTGAGAGATATGGGTGCTATTGATAATTACCTTGGACTAAAGACAGTAGACTCCCAAGGAGCACCCACCACAGGCTGGGGATTGTCCCCAAGCCAGGGTAATTGAGGTACACCCTGCTGGGACAATCAGCCCTTCGATTGAGCAGGCCTGCGGTTAGTTCATGCCGGGAAGGGACCAGGCACCTCTTGGCAGGCCCTACACTACCATCAGTTCTGCTCCTGAAGAAAACTTTGCGTTTTTTGTTTTGTTTTGCTTTGATCAAAACAGCGCACAATTGCCTTTGCCACAGATGTTCCTCACTGGAAAATCCCTGCTAGGACTGTCTGTTTCAGTATCATGGTGACGCTAACAAAAACCAGCATCAAGTTCAAACGGCTGTTTCACTCGGACCAGAAGCCCAAACAAGTGGATAAATTGTGGTTAACAAATCAAAATGGAGAATTCCAAGACCTTAATGCGATTATTACTCTCCATTCCGTACATTTTGGAGGGTGGGTCTCTACCCAGGGATGCTAACAGGCAAGGGTTTGGCAAACAAAAAGACTTCATCGCCCCCTTTTCCCAGACATCGCATCTTCGCATCCTGGAAAGTGGATGGCCCACCCTTCTTCGCCGTGGAAGTACTCTCGGTGAGCGCGGACCTCACCAACCACCACCCTTTGGACGGCAGGGGTAGCGATAGGACCCGCTGCCCAGAGAGAGAATACCGCTTGGTCCTTCTTCCCACCGCCCGCAGCCCCGCCCGCCTGCAAGTGGCGCGCGCGCTCGGGGGCGCGCAGGACTCGGCCCGGCCCGCGGGAGGGCGCGACAGCGACGGCGGGGGCGGAGGAGGAGGACGCTGAAGCCACACCCATCGGCAAGCGGATCCGGGGCCGGGAGTCGTCGGCCTCAGCGCTCGAGCCTCCGCCCGCACTGAGCCGCGGGACCCGGGCCGCACCGGGGAGGGGCCGCTCCGGGCCGCAGCGCGAGGGCAGCGAGGGACGGCGGGGACCCGGCACCGGGCGGAGCCGGCGGCAGCGACCATGATCGCTTTGTTCAACAAGCTGCTGGACTGGTTCAAGGCCCTGTTCTGGAAGGAGGAGATGGAGCTCACGCTGGTCGGGCTGCAGTACTCGGGCAAGACCACCTTCGTCAACGTGATCGCGGTACGAGGGCGCACCGGGGGGCCGCGTGTCCCCGCCTTCGCCGCGCCCTGGGAGTCAGGGTCGCCGCCTGCCTGGCGTGGCGGGGCACGGCCGGGTGCCGCGCGAGGGAGGAGCTGGCCCGGGCGCTAGGGGCCTAGCACGGCCCTTGGGGGACCGGGGTGGCGCGCCACCCGCTTCCTGGCTTGGGCTAGAAGGGCACTGCCGTGGAGCAGGGAGGAAGAGAAGAGACAGGGCTGTGGAACCTGCTGCGGGCAGAGCCAGGAGCCCGCGCCCGGGGGCATGACGGGGCGAAAGTGTCCGGGCCTGCCAGCCCCGCGCGGGGACGTCACGGGACCGGCTGCTCGGGAGGCTGGGGGGCGGGGGCTGGGCCGGCCCTGCCCCACCCTGAGGGCCGAATCCCTCCTCGCGGGACGGGGCAGATCCGGCCCCAGAGATGGAGGGAAGAGGTGTCTCCGAGGGCAGAGGAGTCAGTTGAGATCCTGGGCTGAACCCCAGGCTCTTCCCCAGATCCCCTTCTGGACCTGCTGTGTCGCTCAGAGTCCGGGTAGGATGGCATCCATAGGGGAGCTTGGAGTCTGTGCCTGACCCAGAAGTTGACAGAGGAGCACTCTGGATCAGAGAGGATGCCGTGGAGGGACACTGCCCCTCAGGGAACAGGGAGAGTGGCCTCCGGAGCAATGTAGAGTCTAGACTGGGGGTGCAGAGAGGGGACGGCTGTAAGCCTTTCTGTGCAGTGAAGTGGTGGAGAAGGAGTTAAAAATCTCTCAAAAAGGGGAAGATGCTCTCCCAGGGTGTGTGAGCCCAGGCTGCAGTAATGGCTGCGGCCTGCATTTCTGAGCCAGGCAGGACTGGTTTCTTGGGGCCCAGCAAGGCTTGGGACAGGAGCTAAGACTGACCAGGGCCCAGCCCCAGTCTCAAAGGTGGGGTTTGCAAGAACTGTGAGTTAACCAGGTACTGATCAGAAATACTGATAAGATAGGTCCACACAGGCATGTGGCCCACCTGTCTGGCACTGCCAACCTTGCCTGTGTTGTTACCCAGCCTGGTGAGGTGAGCTTCCCTGACCCTGTCCAGTTCAGCATTCTAGCAGAGAACATTGCAGGGACTAGATGCCATCGCCCTGGCCCAGAGGCCGGAAAGCAGAAGGAAGACTGGATGGACTCTTCCACACAGTCAGGGGGCTGGCTTCCGCTCCTGTTGTGCTCTGCAGGTGACCTCTGCCTCTTCCTTTACCCAGCATCTCCTGCTCCTTATCTGGCAGGGTAGGATTTGCAGGCTGATGCCAAGGTTTGGCGTGTGATACCTTTCTCAGCTAACGTGTGCCCCTGGGCTCGTATCTGCCTGCCCCTAAGATCAGACACACACACACACACACACACACACACACACACACACACACACACGCCCCCATTAGACCTGGCATGGTTTGGCATCACACTTGGACTCTTGCCTGCAAGCCTAGCTGGCTTGACTTTTAGGCATTTAGATGTGAGAGATATCTCTGGAGTAAGAGCAAGAAAAGAAACAAGTTGCTGCCACTCAGCTGAAATGTCACCTCCTGTCCCTAGGGAAACTGTCTTCTTGGAGCATGAGTAAAAGCCATGCTCCCAGGCAGGGTCCACAGGTACCCTGATGGGTTCAGTTTCCCAGCCTCCTCTAGACCAGCATCATACCTAGGGAAGGGGAGGTTGTGACCCAGGTCAGAAACAGAACCCAAGGATCCCAAACTCTTGTGGCAGGGTCAAGAATTGCTGTGATTTTCTGGGAAAATTTCTTGAAATAAAAAGTCCACGTGTTCCCCTTTTTTGATATTAAATGTATCTCTTCAGCTAGCACATTCTAAAAAAGCAGGCCAAGTTTCCCTTCTCTGAGGAAGCCTCTCAAGAAAAACCATCCCTTATGAGCTGCAGTTGAAATTCCAGTGTCTAGGAAACTCCAGTGTTCCCAGATCCTCCCAGGCTATGGACCTGGCATTTCTGGTAGCCCTGGGTATAATCACAGCACAATACCTTCCTGAAAGAAAGGCAGAATCAGAACCTCTAGGCTTGGTTCCATACCCGCCACCCACTCCCCAAATAACCTTTGCCTGTTCACTTGGCCTCTCTTTGCCTTAGCATATTCCCCTTGGGGTTTTCTACTCACTCTATGAGATGGGGCTGTAACTAGGAATTGAGTTTAGTGGCTGCTGCTCAGCAGGCTAATGTGAACTAGAAAGAAATTACATGGGAACTTCACAATGCTTCTAAGATATTAAAACCGATCTTTTGATTTGTGAGAGTTGTGATGCTAGAAAAATAGTCGATTTTTTTTTATAAAGTTTTTTTTTTCAGTACTGGGGATTGAACTCAGGACCTTGTGCTTGCCAGGCAGATGCTTAAGCTGCTGAGCTGTATCCCTGGCCTGAGTCAGTGTTTTTATTCAAGAGAAATGAGAGACATTTTCAAATATTTCAAAGCATAAAAGAATGCCTAATGGGAGAACCAGCCTTGGGGTACCCAAAGGGACTTAGAAACAAAGGATGGAAGTTACAGGAAGGCGGATTTTTGCACATTATGAAGAACTTCCTGATAAGATTGATGTGGTAGCACATACCTATAATCCCAACCTCTGGGAGGCTGAAGCAGGCGGATCACAAGTTTAGACTCAGCCAGGTGTGGTGGTGCACACCCGTAATCCCAGCCCTTGAGAGGCTGAGGTAGGAGGATCCCCTGGAGTTCAGGGCTAGCCCAGCCCAGACTAAGTAGTGAGGTCAAAGCCAGAATGAATTAATAGCAAGATCCTGTCTCAAAACAAAAGCAAATTTGAACTTAGCTTGGGCAGCCTTATGACTTAGCAAGACCTTTTCTGAAAAAAAGAAAAATTAAAGCCTGAGCGTGTAGCTTGATGTGAAGGCTCTGAGTTCAGTCTCCACTACAGAATGAGAGAGACAGACAGATGCATGGGGGGAGGGGGAGAGGGGATGACAGACAGAAGGACAGAGAGGGAGAGAGAGCTTTCTGATAGTTGGAGCTAACCAAAGAGAGAACGGGCCACGGCGGACCCATTCTGAGCTAAGCTGGGCTCAGTGTCCTAAGATTCTTTCCACCCGTAGTGAGGAGCTTGTGAAACAAGGAGTTGTGGCAGGCACATGAAGTCACCACCTGATTCCCACCCAGCTCCAGTTCGTACCTGAACAGGAGCTCTGCATGTGAGGGCACCGGCCCCCCGGGGCTCCTTCTAGCCTCGCCCTGTGCCCTGGTCACATCTGTCAGGTCACATTCTCATCTGTTTGGGAGCCTGCGGGCCTGTGAGGTGCCGGAGTGCAATGACAGTGCCCCTTGGTGTTTTAAACCGTTCATTGCCAATGCTTCCTGAGCCTTGTTCTCAATTCCCAGAGACCCAAACCTTCCTCCCCGAGGCCCAGCGATGCTAAAGCCTTGTCCAGGCTCCCGGATAGGTGAGGAATAAGAACCGGGCTTCTTTCTTCAGACAGTATTCCTAGTCAGCACACACAGGGAGGGATGAGCAGCTTTTGGTCCACAAGTGTCCCCACCCTGACACCTGTCACCTTCTGGGTTAGGGCGATTATACAGTGGTCCCTCATTGAACATTGCAGACACCCCTGTGATGAGTAGAAATCAGTGAAGTAGTGACGTTATATTTTTTTAAGGCTTTATAAACCCTTCTCACACTCTTACAAACCTTTCCCACACTTTCAAAAACACTTCTAATGTTCTTAACCATTTTCTAAACTTGTAAACCTATGTAATTTTACCAATATATGTATACTATACAGTGCTGAAAAATCTGTGATAAATAATTTAAAGTAGGAGCCAGGGAGATAGCTCAGTAGAATAAGCGCTTGCCTGGCAAGCACAAGGTCCTGAGTTCAATCCCTGGTACCGCAAAAATAAAATAAATAAATAAATAATAACTTAGAGTAATATTTTTTGAAAACCCACAAAACAAGTGAGTGAAAGTCGAACAGCGAAATAGTGAGGGGCCACTATAAAGTCATGGGGGGCCATTCCCCCGGAGGACCTACTTTTCTCCCTCAGTGATTCCTAATTTCTAGGAGCCCTTGGACCTTAGGGTGTCTGAGAAAACCTAGGGCTCCTTACCCAGAAAAGTGTACACTCAGTCTTTTTGTATCATTGGGTTCTGCCTCTGTGTATTCAACTGAAGATCAAAAATATTCAGACAAAGCCAGCTACTTGGGAGGCTGAGACAGGAGGATTGCTTCAGCCCAGTGTGGGAACAACTTAAGCAATATATACTTTTTGCTTGTTGCAATTTTTAAGCAGCGTAGTAACACAACTAGTTACATAGTGTTTAGATTGTATTAGGCATGTAAGTAATCAAAAGATGATTTAAGGGCTGGCCAGATAGCTCAGCAGACTAAACCACCTGCTTAGGCAGCGCACAGTGGCCAGGGTTTTATCCCAGGTGTGCTGGCACCACCCCTGGGGCTCGATGAGACAACTGAGACTGGGCATGGTGACCTGCGCCTGTAATCCCAGCACTTGGGAGGCTGAAAACAGGAGAATCACTAAGAGTCCGCTCTACATAGTGAGACCCTGTAGACTCTGTCCTAAATGCGTAAAAATAAATAAATGAAAGATGATTCAAAGCCAATGGGTGGGCATGCGCAGGTATAGGTAACTACGATACCCTTTTACATAAGGGACTTGAGCATTCATAGACTTAATTATTTGAGGGAGCTCCTGGAATACGCAGAGGATGAGCCTACACGCAAGCAAAGCTTTGGACACAGGTTGTGCACTACTTTAGGAGGTTAGGGAGCTCTCTACCTTGGTGACTGTCATGGCTCTCCTAAGGCCTTGATGAACACATGACATGTGTAGATACGAGGGCACGACACACACACTCACCCGGGACCCAGGGATCTTCACTTAGACGTAGGGCCACTGGATAAGAGATCATCTCCTACACCGTGGCCTGGGCCAGGCCCCCAACTCACTGTGGGATAGGAGGCACATTATCCTACCACCCGAGGAGGAAAGGCTGCATGAGGAACAGGGCTAGTACCCTCGGGCTCCAGGTTTAATGAGCCCCCATCTCCTGCAGCCTGCCTCTGGGGGGGTCAGCAGAAATGTCCTGCCTGTGCACATGGAGAAGGCCCAGGAGGGATGAAGCCAGAGATTGAGGGAGAAATGGAATTACATGCTCAACTCCCAGGCAAGCTGCAAACATTTACTAGTGTGTTGTGATAGACCCAGCTCCTCTCCCCAAGCAGCTCTATTCTGGTGGAGAAACACATCGGTAAACCAAGAGTAAAGTATGGATTATCCACCCGAACAAGTGCATAGAGGTCTAGCCAGCCCATACCATGGATGATCCTGAAACTGCTCAGCATGCATTGCCCCTTGAGGGTAGCCAATTTACTCCCCCTGCCCCCCCCCCCAAAAAATTGACCTCAATACCAGCTTGGAAATGTCTGCTTTCCTTTAAGTGTCAGGCCAGGAGCTGGTTGGGGCTCTTGACCTGGTAAGCAGTTCACTCTTCCCCTCCATAGAAGCACTCGGTCTGCACTTAGTGACAGTGCAGGGGCCTCGGTTCACAGAGCACTGCAGGTTAAACCTTAGGAACAACGTCTCTGGTCCAGGTGGGGGACCTGTGGGATGGCTTGGGGTAGCTGGGCTTCTGCACAGATCTCAGGTGTCACCTAGGCTGGTGACAGCCATCCTGCTTACAAGCAGAGGACACAGAAGAGATGCTGCTGGGATACCCCCTCCAGGTGGGAAGGCCCAGCATGTGTGGCCTGGCGGCTGTGTTACCCCATAGCCTTTTGGTCTTTTGGTCGGGGGCCATCAGCAAGGGCACATCCGGGGTGCTGCTGCTTTTCTACCCCATCTCCAACGCCAACCCTTCTCTCCAGTCAGGGCAGTTCAATGAGGACATGATCCCCACAGTGGGCTTCAACATGCGCAAAATCACCAAAGGGAATGTGACCATCAAGGTGAGCCATGGCAGCCCCAGGCTGGGAGCTGTGAGGTGAGGGGCAGGTGTAAGAAGCGCTTGGAGAGGTGTGGGGAAGAGAGGGGCAGCACCAAGAGAAGGGGATGGAGAGTCCTTGGGTGGCCGCCACTAAGTCCGTCTCATGCTTTTCAGCTCTGGGACATTGGGGGGCAGCCCCGATTCCGCAGCATGTGGGAGCGCTACTGCCGAGGAGTGAGCGCCATCGTGTAAGTATGGGCCGGTGGGCCGGGGCCCGCAGGTTTCCCCACCTCTGCTGCCTTCAAGGACCTCAGAGACTCAGAAGCAGGTTGACTTAGTCCTGGTTCATAGCCCACTATCTGCATGGCTTGCCTTTATTTTTTAATTTTGCCCTTTGAGACAGGGTTTCGCTATGTAGCTCAGGCTGGCCTTGAACTCACTTTGTAGTCCAGGCTGGCCTCAGAACTCAGAGTGATCCTCCTGCCTCAACTTCCCAAGTGCTGGGATTACAGGCATGCGTCTCCATGCCCAGTGGGCTTGCCTTTATTTTGCACACGCTTTATTTCTGCTGGGTAAAAGCTGTGGTCCCCACTGCTCAGTTGAAGGAAGAACCTGGGACTCTGGAAATCAGATGGACTATGTAACCTTCCCTGTCATTATTCCTACTGTCCCCAACGCAAACTGCCACTGTCTAGAATTTGGGATGGTTCAAATAATTCAGTCCCTTTTTAAAAATAATTTTAAAGGTATATCTATAATCTCAGCACTCAAGGAGGTGGAGGCAGGAGGATCAGTGCAAGTTCAAGGCCAGCCTGGGCTACATACTGAACTAGATATAAGACCCTGTCTCAAAATAACAACAATAATTTTAAGGGCTGTCTATATAACTCAGTAGATTGCTCACTAGTATGAACAAAGCCTTGTGTTCTATCTTCAGTACCACAGAAAAAGAGTTGAGCCTGGCAGGGTGGCCCATGTTTGTATAGTTAGCACTGTGGATGTAGAGGAAGGAGGATTGAGAGTTCAGGTGCCCCCGGGATGATTTTGCAACTTAGTGAGACCACCTCAGACTTTAAAAAGAGCCAGAGGTGTAACTCGTACAGAGGTCCTGGGCTCGATCTCCAGGACCACAATCACTAATGGTAGTAAAAATTTTATTTGACAAATATATGGCCTGACAACAGATACAGTTTTTTGGATAGAATAAACAATAGATTTTTAAAACTTTTTAAAGAACATCTTGCTACAAGAAAAATGTCCTCGGGTTTGCTTTGCTTTCCCACTCTAGCTTCTCTGAACTTTCCATGAAAACGTAAGTGGGTCACTCGAGGCAGGACTTACAGCTAATCCGGCATGGCCCAAGCTCCGCACAGTGTCCAGCTTCCCCAGAGCACCATGAGGGCAACCCCAGGCTTTTCCCTGCTGTGGATTCGAAAGCATTCACAGAGCGGGGCCTTGAGCCAGGTCAGGGTGGCCGATGGCCCTTGATGCCACCGTGCTGGACCAGAGGTTCCCCCCAGCGGCAGCTACTCCCTCCCTGGGCTCAGCCCACGGTGTTCACAGGCTGTCCTCACCCTGCCTTTACCCAGGTACATGGTGGACGCTGCTGACCAGGAGAAGATCGAGGCCTCCAAGAATGAGCTGCACAACCTGCTGGACAAGCCCCAGCTGCAGGGCATCCCGGTCAGCCTGGGAGTGGAATGTTAGGGGAAATCACTGGGCCGGGGCAGCTGTTGTTGCAGGGTGGAGAGAGGCGTGCGTGCCGGACCTCACAGCCCTCATTCTCCCTCTTCTACAGGTCTTAGTCCTGGGTAACAAGCGAGACCTCCCCGGAGCTCTGGATGAGAAGGAACTGATTGAGAAAATGTGAGTTTAGTGACATTAACTTCCAGCTCCCCAATTCCCCAGCCACCAGTCTTAGAGTTGGGCTTATTATTGTTCCTAGCACTTGCCACACGGTGGCAGCAAAGCACACCTTTCCTGGCACTTCACCCTTCTTGTAAGGCCTTGAGCAAGAAAAACCCTGCCCACCCCCACCCCAAGGCAGTCCTGCCCCTGCAGACTCATATGTGGTCTCCCCTAGGAATCTCTCTGCTATCCAGGACCGAGAGATCTGCTGCTACTCCATCTCCTGCAAAGAGAAGGACAACATTGGTGCGTGAGTCTGGGGAGTTGCTGGCCCCATGGGAGGGGCAGTGGGGAAAAGGGGAAGATAGTTCTGGGTGCCTTAGCATAAGGTTCTCAAGGGTTCTGCCTCTGCAGCTTGTCTTTAGCCCAAAGCTCTGTGGTCCATGGTGCAGCCAGGTTGTAGGCATCACCCCAACCCTGCATCCCTGGCCTTATACTCGGGCTCCCTGCCTCTGAAACTGTTACAGGCTTGGACCAGATGGTTCCCAGCCCCTTCCACCTCTTTGTACAGGGCTGTTTTTCTCAGTACCTGTGTGAGGCTCTGGACCCTGAGCTCCTGCCCTCGGGTGCCCATAGTAGTTTGGTGCTTAGCTATCTTGCCTGATGCCACCCCCACTCCCGCCCCACCACCCAGCACAACAAACCCTTATCAGCCTTTTCTCTTGTCCTGCACCCAGACATCACCCTACAGTGGCTTATTCAGCACTCAAAGTCACGGAGAAGCTGAGACGGCAGCCCTTCTCCCTCAGACCAGGGACCGTGGTTGTGGAAAACTGAAGCCGAGCTCCCCGCCCATCCCTTCGTCCCCCTAAGCGCACCCCTCCTCACTCAGCGAGGGGAAGGCCCTCTGGGGCTCCCAGAGCCCTGTTCTGCTGAGGTTTGAACTCCTGTTTTTATTGTATAATAAATCGACCCCCATCTGGGCCTCCAGCCTCTCCCCTGCCCCTCTCCCAGGGTCCCCTCTCCCAGCCCGCTTCCCTCCCCTCTTGACAGCCCTGTCTCCCACCCCTGCCCCCTCGCTTCCCCCTCTTCCCTTTTCAACTCTCTGTTAGTGTCCTGTGTGTACAGTATATATATGTATATATATTTTAATTTTTTAATTTAAGCAAAGACTAAAATCAACCATTTGATGCTGCAGGGGCCATTCAGGATCTGGGAGGGGGCAGTCTGGAGAGAAGGAAAGAGATGCAGGGTCGGCTGGGGGCCAGTTCACATCTGGAGGGGTGGAGGCTGACGCCTGGGGCAGGTACTGGCGTGGGCACTGGTGCCGCCCCCGTCCTGTATTTCTGCCTCCTGCTCTGGCTTGTCGCTGCATCCCACAGGTGGTGGGAGCCTAGGTAGCCACTTCCTCTCTGTCCCCAGCCTTGATAGGGCCACCAGGTGCCAGAGAGCACCAGGCCTAGGGGCGGAAGCTGGTGTCCATGCTGCCCCAGCACCCTGACCCCTGTTCCGGCCCCCAGCTCCTGCCCCCACCCAGGGCCCCCACCTCCAGGGCCCACCTCATTTTCTGTTCTCATTTTGCAGAGTTGCACAAGGAGAGAACTCAGCATGGGGGGTTGGTTCTTTGGATTTTGTTTTTTGTTGTTTTATTTGTTTAATGATTTGTAAAGTGATGTTCCTCTTCCTTTTTTACACTTTTCAGCTCATATTTAACCTCTGTTTGGAAAATGATTCCTGTAACTGTACATTTTTTTCCTCCTAATAATAACAATAAATTTCCAATCTTGTGTTGAGGGGGTACATGGTGCCCATTATTTTTCTGCAGACAGTGCAGACCAGCCAGCAGGCACAAGGGACACCAGCACCCCTGAACCCTGGGCACAAGCAGCCCGAGAACCACGCCCACAGGGCCATGTGCCCAGGCCGCACACAATGGCCCCTCACAAGTCTCCCGCACGTGCTTCGGTGCTGCCCAGCCTCCTCATTCCTTTCTCAGACTTCATGTGGTCCTGGCCTTGAGCTGGCAGCTGCCTAGCAGTGCACAGGAGGACCAAGGAGGAGCTGCCCAGGTCACGATGGCAGGAGTGAGGGGCGCCTCTGCTGCCCCCCATCGGGCCCCATCCACACCCCTACTGCGCGAGTCCTCGCTGCACCCAGCCTGTGAAGCTGGACCCCCTGCCTGCACAGCTGCTGCTCTGAGCCTCACAGGCCCTGTTTGATCAAATCTGAGTCCATCCTGACCCAGATTTACAGGAGGCCCCGCCTCCTCCCCTCCTTCTGCCTCCCCTTCACCCTGGAAAATGGAGCAGGCCCTGCAGAGCAACCCCTGCATCCTGACCAACCCGCCCTGCCATAGAGAGCCCCCTGGGTATGCAGCCCTCCCCAGCCCCAAGCCCTTGCAGCTCCTGGGCCTTCTTCAGTGCCCAGGGCTACTTCTCCCAAAGGCTGTCTGACATGAGGGCCCTCAGAGAAATGCCTGCAGAAGGGCCTGAGGAACAACCAGAGCCCTGATGGCGAACCTTTAGAGCTTTCAGGGATACAAACACGGCACTGCAGCACGAAGCCACAGGTTCGCCACCTCTGGCCTGTGTGGAACCTGGCAGCTGGAGCTGAAGGTCCTCCGATGCCTACCATGCCCAAGAGGTGTGACACATATCTATGTGGTTAAGGATTAAAGTGGGCCCAGGTCTGTCCCCTTCCCTCATTGCAAAGGTGGTGAGTATACCCTGGCCAGAAACTGGAAGAGGGCCATCCCCTCTTTCATCTGGGCCTTTGGGATAGGCTCCTCGGGTCCTGCTGTCCTGAGCCCAGGGGAGGTGTGGGTCTGTAACCTTGGAGCAAGTCTGGATCCCCCCAGCAGTGGCTGCCTTCCAGTGCTTTGGGACCTGCAGAACCTGCTCGGGTGGAGCAGGAAACAAAGGAGAGCGAGGTACATGTACATCATCAGTCCTGTCTAGACTCTGATGCCCAAACTGGATGAATTTAAGAACACCCCAGTGGGCTTGCTGCGCAGTACTGGAGACTGCAGTTGCCAAGCCGACCCCAGTGCTGGGAAGAGGGATTGTTTCAAGTCGCAGATGCAAAAGCTGAGACTGAGGCTGTGCAAGTGCATTCAGGTCCCAGGGTGAACAGATGATGAAGCTGAGATGGAAGGTGATACCCTCTTGCAGAGGGGAGGCCTAGGTCGCCCCACCGCCATCAGGTATCAGAGTCGCAGGGCTGAGATGCTGCTGCTTGCTTTGCCTTTTTGTTTGCTTTTGCATTTATTAGATACAGAGTCTCACTACGCAGTTCACAATTGTATTGAACCTCCTGTCTCAGCCTCCCCAGCACTGGGGTTCCAGGCATGTGCCACCACACTGTTTGGGGACACCCTGGCACTTCTGGGGCCAGCATGGCATGTGGTACTGAGGGTTGAACCCAGGTCCCCGAGCGGAGCTATCTCCCCAGCCCTGCTGCCTGTTCTTAAGGGGTGACTGTCATTGCCCCCTCCACATACCCCAGCTCAAGTCCGCACCCACCCCTGTGCCAGCCTCCTCCCCAGCCTTGAGCCTGGGACCCCTGAGCAACAAACCCCACATTGTTTCCCAGCTGGCCCAGGCCGGAGGGAGAGTGGCTCTTACCCAAGGCCAGCAGGCCTGCTGACTTAATTCTGCAGGCCATTCACGTTGGCAGGGCTGGGAGGCGGTGGTGGCAGCAGGGCCTTGGAGCTACCATCTCTCTCCCTTTGGTCTGAGTCGGCAATAAGGAAGGGCCAGGGGTGGCCTTTGTGGAAGACCCCCAAACAGGATGCTAATGTGCCCCCCACCCGGCCTGCCATCCTCAGCCCTGCCATCATTGGCTTCACCTCGGTTCACCCAGCCCCCTCCTGCCTCCCTTAGGAAGCTATTGGTGCATGTAGGAACCGGCGGGGTGGCTGTAGCAGAGAAGGAGGGGTTGAGGGAAGCCTGCCTTTGGCCCGGTCTATAGACTGTACCCCCTCCCATCTAAAGTTTCTAAAGACAAAGCTGGGGGCTTTGGTCACTGTGGCAACAGGGCTGCTGAGAAATGGGTTGGTGTCATTCCCCAGTACATGGCCACACCATCACCTAGCAACGGCCTCTCTCTCTTGGCGGTGTCACTGGCCCTGGGGGTGGGTGCCAGGGAGAAAGAACAAGACTGTTAAGATGGGGGGTGGAGCTGGAGCAATGGGCAGGCAGAGGCCAAGGGGTGTGGGTGACTGGACAGAGAGAATGAGGCCCAAGCCACTCAGAACCTCCTGCCCCTCACTGCCCTTGGGGATACTTCCTGAGGCCCTGTGCCAGTGCACATCCTAGGTAGACATGGTAGTCATGAGTAGTGCTTTGGGGAATCCCAGAGGTGCAGCTAGAGGAGGACGGACTTCAAGGGCAGGACCAGCAGAAGGAGCTGCAGGGTCTGCTGGGGACATGGGACAGAGCCCTGGCCTGGCAGGAAGGGTGGTGGGGCGGGGGCGGGAGGGGGCAGCCAGGGGCCAAGCAGCTGGACCATCTATGGGCAAAACAGTCTGTTCTAAGGCCCAAACAAGAGCCATTCTCAGAGTGCCAGACTGGGAAGCCCCGCAGCTCACAAAGGGAAGACCACTGGCATCCCTCAAATGAGGGCTTTGTTGGGAGAGTGTAACTCAAAGCTGGGGGCGCAGGAAGGACAAGTTGGCAGTCTTTGACTGTTAGAGGCTGCTGGGTTTTGACCAGGATGACGATGTAGGCCCTCAGCTCTGCACGATCCCCATCCTCTCTGTCCCTCAAAAGCCCCCAGGGCAGGAGAGTAGCCACAGCCAGGGCCAAAGGTGGTCAGGAGGAATGCACCCCCTGGCACTGCCCAGCCCCGGGAAAGTTGTACCTGCAGCACTGCCAGGACAGGCACACAAAAATCGCATGGGTGCATGGTAGTTCTACCTAGTTTATTGATGTTGGGGGAGGGCCTTCTATGGGAAAGTGCCGAAACCAGGGAGCTTGGACAGGACAACCTAGGTACCTTAGAAGAGGACAGAGGAGAAATTCCCAGAAAAAGGGAGAGATCCAGTCCAAAGAAAGGGTACTGAGCCTACTGGGTCGCCTCCCACCAAAGGAGACCATTCTGGGATGGGACCCCATGTAGGGATGCAGCGATGAAACTCAGGAACACAGTCAAGGCAGAAAGGGAAGCAGGCAGCAGCCAGGAGGGGGCAGGTTCACTGTGGCTCCCAGAGGTGGGACCAAGACTGAGCAGCTCTAAGGACCTAGAAGGGTCACAGCCTACCTGTGCCAAAGACAGTGCTAGATGGCCCCTCAGCGCGACAGGAAAGGCCCTGCTCAGGGAGGAGTTTTCAACAACCCCAAGCCTGCACAAGAGGAACCAAGTCCATCTAGACAACAGGAAGGGCGGCCAAGCGAGACCTATGGGGCAAGAAACAGCAGGCCCAGCTGGATCTGGGTTGGCAGCCCTGTCCCCTCCCTGGGGCCTGGCCTCAGCAAGGTGTGCCCAGGGGCAAAAGCGGGGGCGACTCCCTGGGCTTGTGGAAGTAGATGGAAGACACCTCAGCCTTGAGCTTATTGTTGGAGCCATCGGTGGTTGAGGCCTCAGAGGCCCCGCCGCCACAGTCCTCGCAGCAGCAGCAGCAGCAGCAATCCAGGAAGGCCTGGCCCAGCGGCCGGCACACACACAGCAGCAGCACCGGTGTGATGGCGCCCTTGAAGAAGGTGGAGAACTGGTTGACGAGGCCCAGCAGGTCCAGGGTCTGGCGAGTCAGCTCGGTGGACAGGTAGGCCACCACCACGTTGCAGACGTTCTCTGGGAGGGTGCACAGGGCGTAGACCACGGTCAGGCCCACCACAGTGCTGTTGAGCTGGCTCTCACACTGCGCATGCTTGCCAGCCCGGCACTCCGGCTTCCTTCCCGGCGTGCCCCGCACCCGCCACGTCACCAGCTGGCAGGTGACCGTGAAGAGGATCGGCAGGCAAAAGTAGCAGCCAAAGTACCACCACATGCGGGCGTTCTGGTAGGTCATCACCAGGGAGTAGAGCGTCTCAGGCAGGCTGGCTGACGGCTTCATGACACATGAGTCCACGGTGCCCGCGGTGGGGGCCGGCTCCTGTGCCAGCTGCCACAGGAGGACCTCCGGCACGGCCAGAGTCATAGAGCCCACCCAGATGACAGCTAGCTTGGCCAGGATCGACTGGCACCGCTCAATGGGCCTCACCTTGGGCAGGGTGCTGGTAGCCACATGGAAGCGGTCAATACCCAGGGCGCAGAGGCTAAAGGTAGTGACTCCCAGAGAGGAGACCTGGGGGGCAGAGGGGATAAAAAGTGCTTGGTCAGAACCGACAGGGTTGGGTAGAAGCCCTGCTTGTGGATTAGTCAGTGAACTGTGTCATGAGTAGAGGAGAAAGGTATGGGTAGGGCTGGGCCTAATGCTGCACACCTGTAACCCCAGAAGTCTGCGAGGCTGAGGCAGGAAAATTACAAGTTCAAACCTAACCTGAGCAACTTCATGACTTAATCTGGGGTTTTATTGTTTTAATCAAACATTTTTTAGAACGAGCTGGGAGGTAACTCAGTGTGAAGGCCCAGAGTTCGATCCTTAGCATCACAAAAATAAATAAAAATAAAGCAACTTGCCTTTGGCAAACATTCTTTTGTCCATCGAACGATTTCCATACGTGAGCAAACCCTCATCACTCATCTTACAGGAAAAACCTAGACTGAGGCAAAAAAGGGACTCCCCTAGGAGCCCAGCACTGATCAACGGCAGAGCTGGGGCTCACAGAACAACTCTTCCTTCCTTCTCTCTGAGCAAGGGCTGCTTAGCCCACCCTCACAGACCCCATGCTGTCTGCGGGGCAGCAGGTCATATCTGAGGAAGAACAGGACAGGCGCAGAATCCCTGGGTCTTTGCAGCCCTTCCCTTCCTGAGCACAGGTGATGACACCAAGAATGTGCTTTGCATATTTTCATCCTCCCTCCCATCCTGAGTGGCCCGAGGCCTGGCTGAGCATCACTTGGTGTGGCCTGCACCCCACACCCCACACACTATTCATGGGCTCACCGGAAATCTACCCTTTGGGCCAGGAAGAAGAAGCCAGGCGGCAGGGAAGAAAGAGCCAAAGAGCATAAAGGAGGAGGAGAGCCACCCACACTCCCAAGCTGCGTCCCACCACACTCGGGAATTGTGCTCCCGTCCCCTTCCTGTCCAAAGCCTTCACTCTTCAGGCTGGGGGACACAATCCCGGGCTTATTCACACTGCCACGGGTGTCCTTTGTGAGAGCCCCCACCCCTCTTGGCGAGCGAGCCCAGGCCTGTGGAGGAGCAGACTCCAGCGCCAGGCAAAAACGTCATTCTCTCCCCTAGCACCCCCAGACTTCCCCAAATTTATTCCAAGCTGCCTTCCCCGCCCTCCCAGAAGCTGCCTGTTCCTCCCGCAGAGAAGAGTTCCGGGCTGGGTCTCGCCCCACTTCACCCGGCTCCCAGCCTCTGCCAGCTGCTGGGTCATCTCCACCCTCCAGCAGGTCGGAAGGGCAGCAGGGAGGGCCCAGCTGCCACCTGGTCAGCAAGGGCCGGGGAGTCCACGGACCTGTCTGTGCCTCCCCTCTCCCCCTTATACCAATTCCAAATAAAGCTGCCCTTCATTGAATCACTTTATTCTATGTGCTTTATGGCCCTTTTAATTCTTCAAGAATTGGGCTGGTGGGTAATGTTGGCACATACCTATAATCCCAGGGGCCTGGAGGCTGAGGTAAGAGGATCACATGATTGAGTCCAGCCTGGGCAACTTAGCAATTTAGCCAAGTTTTTTTTTTTTTCTATCTGTTTTTTGTTTGTTTTTGTTTTGAGACAAGGTCTTATGATATAGTCGAGACTAGCCTTGAATTCGCTATGTAGCCCAGTCTGACCTGGAACTCACAACAGTCCTCCTGCCCCAGCCTCTCAAGGGCTGGCATTATAGACACATGGCCGCCACACCCAGCTCATTTTATTTTTAAGGAGAAATTATAAAAATAAATGAATAAATAAATAACACTAGGGAGGTGACTCAGTGTGAAGATACTGAGTTCTGTGTCCAGCACTGCAATAGACAGAGACAGGGAATGTTAGCTGGGGAGTAGAAGCACAGTTTAGCCCTGGGCTCAGTCCCCAGCACCAGAAACAAAACATTAGGCAGAGTGGCCATCCTGGAAGCCTAGCGCTCTGGGAAGCTGAGGCAAGATGTCAAGCTAAAACCCAACCTGGGCAATTTCATGACTTGGTGAGACTCTGTCTCAAAATTTTACAAAGTCTGGGGAAGTAGCTCCATGTGCAGGGTCTGGGTTCAACCCCCAGTACTGCAAAAAATAAATAAATAAAATTTACAGATGGGGAATCTGAAGTGTAGACAGGGTCAATAAAGGGAATAAGAAAAGCCCATTTCTGACCTAGACTGCTCCACCCCGAGCCCTGTGTCTGCGCACTCCCAACTGAGCCAGGCTGTGTGCTCAGGATGAACACTCACTGCAAAGGCTGCCCCGATTTTAGTGTCTCCTTCACACTGGAAAACTCTGGGCCACCATCAGGTGGTCTGCCTGGGCAGGGGAGCTCTCAGCCCCTCAGAGACCCTACCAAGCCATGAAACCATCACTAACAGCACCGGGGACCAAGCAGGCAGCAGGGCCTAGGCACTGAGTTCTCGCATGGGTCACATAGCACCATCCATGGAGGAACAACAGGCTCAAGAGGAGGCACGGTCACTATAGTCTTAACTGTGACCCCACGTAGCCAAGATTTAAAGGGTAGCTTCCTTATTTTGTGCTTTCACGTACAGACAAGGACTTCCCCGTCTCACACAAAGGCACACGCGGCGGAATAGTTTCGCAGTGATGTGATGACATTTTCTCTGTGGGATCTACACAGCCCTCAATACCATAGGTTTGTCGTCACAGGGGAGTTTCCAGAAGTAAGGGCATAATGGTACACTTTAGAAAACTTTCTTTTCAGTACTGGGGGGTTAACTCAGGGCCTTCACACTAAGCTACACCTCCAATCTTTTTCATTTTTTATTTTAAGACTGATCTTGCTAAGTCACGAAATTATCCAGTCTGGGCTCAAAATTTTGATTCTCCTGCCTCAGCCTCCCAGAATGCCCAGGATTACAAGGGTGCATCACCCCACCTGACTTACTTCAGAATTTTAGAATAGACCCATTAGAAGGAATATCTGGTCTACCTCCATTTTGGGGTTAGGGAAATGAAAGAGGAGATGTGCTCTGGCCTGCACCCCCACCAGTGTGTCAGTTATGGAGCTGAGATCAGAGCTTCTGCTAGCTATAGTGCCCACATGCAAGCCCTGCCTTTCAGGGAGGATTCAAGTTAGTGGTGGAGACAACAGTTATGATGATAGTGGTCACGACAATGGTCCCGGTCAGGAAGGAAAGACAGCTGTCTCCTGGGCAAGCACTCACACTGGACACAGGCACTGACCTGATGCTGGGGTGTGTCTAGAAGACCCAGCTCCTACTGACACTGCCTGGGGGCAGGATGTTGAATTAACACCAGGCTGCTGTGGGTGCAGGGCGGTAGCCACAGGCACATAGAAGACACAACAAAGGACAGAGGACTTTCTTGGGTGGAACAATGGAGTGGGGGGGATGGCGCAAGGGAAGGGGCAGCTTGGATCTAAAAGAAAGAGACAGGGCCTGTCACTGAGCCCTGGGCCTTACAGCTGAGCCCTGGAAGGGTCTACACTCACCTCCATGAAGGGCACGGCCCGGCAGGAAATGTCACCCAGTAGCCGCTGCTTGGTGATCTCATTGAAGATGACAACAGGGAGGCAGAAGAAGAGGACCAGGAAGTCCCAGAGGGCCAGGCTCGCGAGGATGGAGTTCCAGGCACTCTTCAGGTAGTAGCTGTGCCACACGATGCACATGACTGACAGGTTGCCCACAATGCCCACAGCAAACACCACCAGGGCCAGGAGCATGATGGCATAGGCACTGTAGGAGCTCTCGGTCACCGGGTATAGGGGGTTCTGGACCTGCAGCCTCTGACTTGGTGTCCCTGTCAGATTGCCCCTCAGCTCCTGCCCGCTGCCTGGGGAGTCCCCACCCTTTTCAGGGCTGGAACTGGTGGCTACCCAGGGCTTGCTGGGCTGCAGGTCCACAGGGTGGATGGGCCGGGGGTACTCAGCCCATTCCTCAGGTACATAGTGCTGTACCTCCTTGGCTTCCTCGGCCTCAGTGCCTCTCCTGGCTCGGTTTTGCTGCTCCGGAGCCTCTGCTCTGTGCCCATGAGGGGCACCCCCAGAGACCCCGCCATGCCCCACAGCCCACACAGCAGCAAGAGAGAGCGCCAGGGGCCACAGCCACTGCATGGCCGGAAGCACAAGACGCGGCTGCCCAGGGAGAGCAGGTGAGGCCGGGGCCCAAGTGCTGGGCAGAGTCAAGAGGCAGCTGGCGACTGGGCCCGCCTTCCGTCAGGCGTCTGGCATGGCCGGCCCCCCCCTCCCACCCACAGGCCACAGGCTGGCTAGGGCCCTCTGCTGGTCATAAAGCAGTCTTTGCCACCCTTTGCAGCTAGGCCTCCAAGACCCACGCTCTTGGCCCCAGGACCATGGCAGTCTGACTGTGACACCATCAGAGGATACCTGGTCCAGGCCATGGAACCTGCCCAGTGAAGCCACAGGGCAAGAACAAGAACCAGGGTGCAGCTCTCCTGATTCTACCTGAATTTAAGTTAGCTCCTTCATGCAAAACGGAGCAGGCACTGTGATTCCTGAACGCGCAGCAGCTCCCGGTGCTCAGCTGACTTCTCAGTGACCCCTCACTGTCTTATGATGTAAATCCTACTGGAATCCACTTTTCAGATTTGAAATGTGGTCTCTCTCTCTCTCTCTCTCTCTCTCTCTCTCTCTCTCTCTCTCTCTTCCTTCAAATGCCTTCAGGGCAGGTTTGGCTGGCTTGAGTTGTGGGGACCAAACCACAGCAACCTGAGCCTGACTGCTTTGTTGAAGCAGCCACTTAAAAAACTGAGCTAAGGGGCAGGCCCCCAACGTGGTCTCTTGTCACTTAGCTCATCAGTAGAGCACTTGCCTAAGCATGTGCAAGGCCCTGGTTCAATCTCTAGCACCACAAAAATCAAACCAACAGGTCAGATGTTTAGCCCGAGGCGCTCAGCACACATGTTCAACGTGGGCTGCAGCATGGGCCCCTTCTTGCACTACTGGTACCTGTGGCTGGACCGCATCCTCCCCACCACGGGCTTTCACAGACTCCTGAACGTTGTCAGGAAGGTGCTCATGGACCAACTGGTGGCCTCACTGCTGCTGGGTGCCTGGTACTTCCTGGGCCTTGGCTGTGTAGAGGGCCAGACACTGAGCCAGAGCTGCCAGGAGCTGCGGGAGAAATTCTGTGAATTCTACAAGGCTGACTAGTGCGTGCGGCTCACAGCATAGCTAGTGAACTTTCTCTTTGTGCCCCCCCAGTTCTGGGTCACATACATCAATAGCCTGACGCTGGGCTGGGACCCCCACCTGTCCTACCTTAAGTATCAGATCCCCGGGACTCTTACACCCCAGGCTGGGGACTGACCTATCCCTGCCCAGAACTGAATGACAGACAGGGCCAGCTGCCTCAGAGTGACCCACTTCTGCCAGAAGGGGACTGACTCCCCCAGCTGCGGGGTCCCAGGCCATAGATGGGTCTCAGCCACACAGCTGTTCAGTGTGACCTAGTGACCCAGAGCCCAGCCCAGCCCTGGAGTCCCAGGCCCTCATCACTGCCCTGACCTGGCTCCAGGCACGTGACCAGGCAGCCACCCCAGGGCACACTGCCACTCCTCCAGAGGAGCCTTCTGCCTCTGTCATACACTGAGAACCCCATTAAACTGCTATCCAGGTGCCCCAGGGCAGCCACACACAGGGGAAAAAAATCAAATCAAATCAAAGTAACAAGGGGCCGGGAAGATGGAAGTGCAAAGGTCTGAGTTCAATCCCCGGTTCCACAAAAAAAAAAAAAAAAATCTCACCACATTCTGAGTCAGCACAAATGCACATGCTGAGTATCTGCTGTGCTTTATTGTTGTTGTTTGAGACAGAATCTTGCTATATAGTTCAGGTTAGCCTCAAACCTACCACAACCCTCCTGCCTTAGCCTCCCCAGTGCTGGGACCAGGCATGAGCCAACACACCCCTTACTGTGCTTTAGACACTCAGTATACAAAAATACAAATGATGCCAGGCATGGCGGAGCACACTTACAGGCCCAGCACTCAGGGAGGATGGTAAGTTTGAGCCCAACCTGAGCAACTTAGCAGGAGCACATTTTCATCTCAAAATTAAAATCAATAACAATAAAATAAAGGACTGGGGGATGTAGCTCAGTGCGAGAGTCCTAGCTCCACTCCCTAAATGACAACAAAAAAGCCAAAGACTTCTGCCACCAAGAAGCTCTCAGCCCAGAGGGGAAAATAACTGCAGGTAAATAATTACAATTCAATGTGACAGATGATGTGAAAGGGTGAGGGTCACAATGCCATGGGAGGGGGGTCTGGAAGACCTCCAGGGCAGGGGACATCTGAATGAAGCCTGGCACATGCTGTAAAGTTCCCTGACAGACTCCAGGAGGAAGGACGACGCTGCAGGCCAAAGATGCCACAGGTTCAAGGCTTGGTGACACCAGCGTGGGGTAGGTGATGTTCTGTAGAGCAACACAGGTGTCATTTTGAGGAGGCTGGGGCAGCAGGAGAATTTAAGGAGAGGGCTTCAGTGTTGAGAGCAAGAGGTGAGCTCTGGAGATGCGGGGAGGGATGCTGCAGGCCATCACGTGGAGCTGAGATGTTACCCAAAAGCTGGGAAGGTAATACAGGGATGTGATACAGGGATGATGCTCTTGCTTTCAGAGGGCCTGAGGAGCAGGGAGATTCAAGAAAACCACAGACTCCAGGAGAAGCAGCAGCAGAGAAGGGCGGGAGGGAGGCCAGGGCAAGTCACTGCACAGGGCAGCACCAAATGAGGAGCAGGACAGCAACAACAGGTGAAGAGCCCCGGCAAGTGCAGAGGCTTTGTGTGCATGGCGGTCTGCAGGGAGAGGCAACTGCAGCTCAGGAGGAAGCCAGCAGCAGGCAGGTGGCGCTTCAGCAGTGTACCTGCAGGCCTGGCTGCCACAGAGCACGGGGTGCATACGAGTATAAGGCAGGGAGGTGGGGGAGCCCCACACTGGGGAGGAACATGGAATAAGAGGAGCCCAGGGAGGGTGGCCACATATAAATGAGCCACATGGTATACGTGGGTGGCACACGCTGTAATCCCAGCACTGTGTGCAGCTGAGGCAGGAGGATCCCAAGTTCAAGCCCACCTGGGCAATTTAGTAATTTAGCAAGACCCTGCCTCAGAATAAAAAACTTTTAAAAGGGCTAGGGAGCTGGGCATGGTGATACAAGCCTATAATTCCAGCACTCAGGAGGTTGAGGCAAGAGGTTCACTTCAAGTTCAAGACCAGCCTAGGCTACAAAGTAACCTCAAAGCCAGCCTGAACTGCACAGCAAGATCTTGTCTCAAAAAGACTAAAAAGGGGGTTGGGACTAGGGATGTAGCCCAGGGTGATGGCCTTGGGTTCAGGACCCAGTACACCTGTAATTGCTGTTGTTTTGAGGCTGAGACAGGAGGATCTGCATTTGGAGCCAAACCTGAGCAATTTATCAAGATCCTGTCTCAGAATACAATTAAAATAAAAAAGGCTGGTGCTGTAGTTCATGGTAGAGCCTGGGTTTACTGTGCCCCAAGCTGACTTCAATCTTCAGCACTGCAAGCTGATAAACAGAAATAAAAGTCTCAAGGGGGAAAAGAGGTGGTGTGGTGGTGGAAGGCAGCAAGCTCAGGAAGCTGAGGCAGGAGGGCAATTAGTTCAAGGACAGCCTGGACTACAGAGTGAGACCCTGTCAGGGTGGGGGTGGTGATCACCAAGTGTCACCATGTAGTCAGAGGGCCAGGCAGGCTGCCCACCCATCAGAGTCTCAGCTGTCCTTTTCACTGTTACCCCACAAGATGCCCACAGTGAAGGAAGGAAGCAGGGCTCTCGCTATACAAGCTCAGCCTCAGGACACTTGGGGGAAAGGCTGCTCTGAGCATCCTGGGTTAGGTCTGTGCTCAGAACAGATCCCCCTACAGCCAGAGAGACCCAGCCTCTCCTCCCCAGTCCCAGGGCCTAAGACTCCTCCCACCCAAACCCACATCCAGCCATGCAGTGTGGGTGCCTGGGTGAACAGATCTGTAGGGTCCGCATGGCCCAAGCTGTTCCCCCAGCTCCTCCCAGGTGCCAGCCCATCACAAGCACTGTGGTTAATTCTCACTTAAATCTGTAGGCTCTCACTCAGGTCGAAGAGGTAAAGCAGCTTGCATGAAGACTCATGGCTAGTGAGTGACAGCTGGCGTCCAGAAGCAGGGTTATCTATCCCCAAAGCTACAACTCCTTTGTGCTATTTACAGCATTTTTTTTATCTTTTTCTTTCTTTCCTTCTTTATTTATTTGGCCAGTGCTAAGGAATTGAACTCAGGACCTTCATACTGAGCTACATCCCCAGGACATTTTTTTTAAAAAAACTTTTATTTTGAGACAAGGTTTCACTAATTATCTCAGTTACCCAGGCTGGGGTCAAAATTCTAATCCTGCCCCAGACTCCTAGAGTGCTGGGATTACAGGTGTGCACCACCACACCCAATTCTACTGGCAGAACATTGACGTGGAAAGAGCTCTTAGATATCTATGCTCTCATGTTTCAGAAGTGGGCAGAAGACAGAAAAATCAAATACCAGGCGTTTGCAGCCCCATCTCTGATCTACGGGTGCTCAGGGCTCCCGGCAGCTGCCAACGTGGCACCGACCCTCCTATGGGACTGGCATCGGGGGAAGCAAGCAAATGTGGGTCCACTGCTCTTTCTTTATACACATGAGGATGCCCCAATCATCCCACTTCCCAAGGTACCTTACACACAGTCATGCTCCGTAAGAGCTTGTCCTTTTGGAGTCTTTGCCCGGACAGTTGGCACGCCGGCGGCCACGAGGTGGCGCTGGAGGCCCAGAGGTGGAAGCCAAAGGCGAAGGCCTGCGCCCTCCGTTCCGGGCCCTACCCACAACGCCCAAGCCCACTTTTGCGCGGCCTGAAAACAGCTAAAAAGAGATGACGGTGCATCCCAGCTACCAAAAGGCCTGGCAGGATCTGATTGGCTCACCACTCCTGACGGGCTTCAGCTTCGGGCAGATTCGCACTGGGCCCCGGGGTGGGAGTAGAGGTGGGGGAGAGGGGAGGGGATTGCGCGTGCTCAGAAAACACGCAGTGCAACCATGGACCATGTCCTCGGCCCGGGAAGGTCTCCACTATCCCAGGAATTCCCCATTCTTGTCCCTGGTAATTCCCCACAATATTGGAGACAAACAGAGGCGCTTAGATCAGAGGG